AACATGGAATCATTTAGAAATGATACAACAAATTAAGTAGAGGTCCTTTGTTTCTTGAGTCCTATTTACCTTGTCATATCTCCTTGCATTTTAAATTTAATACCCACATATCAGGGAGACCATGTGCTATTTGTCTCTCTGATTTTGGCTTACCTTGTTCAACATGATGTGTTCTAATTCCATCCATTTCCCTGCGAATGCCATTATTTTGTCCTTTCTAATAGCTGTGTAATATTCCATTGTATATAGGTACCACAATTTTTGGATCCATTCACCTGTAGGGGGACATCTGGGTTGTTTCCATATCTTGACTATTGTGAACAGGGCAGCAATGAACATAGAGGTGCATGTGTCCTTGTATACTGGTTCCTATTGCTCAGGATAGATGCCTAGGAGTGGTATGGCTGGGTCGGTCATAGGTGAGGTCTATATTTAGCTTTCTGCGGACCCTCCAGACTGTATTCGTGTTGTATTAGTGTACATTAGTACATATAGTATATATTCCTACCAGCAATGCAATAGGGTTCCTCTTTCTCTACATTCGGCCAGCATTTGTCGTTGGCTGAATTTAGGATAGAGGCCATTCTGAGTGGGGTAAGGTGGTATCTCAGGGTTGTTTTTATTTGTATTTCCTTTACTGCCAGGGATATGAACATTTCCTCATGTGTTTCTTAGTCATTTTTCTCTCTTCTTCTCAGAAATCTCTCTTTATCTCCCTTGCCCATTTGATGATTGGTTTGTTAGATTTGGGAGGGATTAGTTTCTTGAGTTTCCTGTATATACTGGATATTAACCCCTTTTCTGATATGTTGCTGGTAAATAGTTTTTCCCAGTTAGTTGGCTGTCTTTCTAGTTTGGTAGCTATGTCTTTAGCTGTGCAGAAACTTTACTTTGAGGTAGTCCCATTTGTTGAGTCTCTCTTCAATTTGTTGTGACCCTGGAACTCTGTTCAGAAAGTTCCTACCTGTGCCTATAAATTCAAATGTCTCTCCTACTCTGTCCTGCAATAGTTTCAGAGTTTCAGGTTTGATGTTAAGGTCTTTAATCCATTTTGAGTTGATGTTAGTGCATGGTGACAGGCTGGGGTCCTTTTAGTTTTCTATATGTGGCCGCCCAGTTTTCCTAGCACCAATAGTTGAAGAGGTTGTTTCTCATTTGACTTTTTGACAATTTCATTTTACTCTTTGAGATAATTGGATCATAGCTGTGACTTAGAAAAACTGACTTCATATTTATTACCTCCTCTACATTGACTGGCTGCTGTGTATTCATTGCTAGCTAGGTATAGTTGGTGTGATGACATTTTCATTCAAATGTGTCACACATTTTCTTCCTTCTTGTGTCTAGCATCATTTGGAAATGTAGCTTCTTACCCATGCGTGCCCTGTGACAGCACAGTGACAAGTGCATTAACTACCCGAGTGTTCACACAGGCCTCGGTTTTCTTGGAAAAAACAACAGAAAACTTGCCATTCTTTCAAGTGGGCTCATTGTGTTTTCAGTAGAAGCAGTAAACTGCCAGTGAGGAAATTAAATTCTGACAAACAGCTCTGTTCTCAGCTGGTGTGCTAATTGAAATCGAACCTAACGTCTTTGATGAAGAACAGTCTGAAAGTACACGGAATGTACCTGCCGAAGAGCATCCTATGGTCACTTTCAAGAAGTGACTGATCAGACTCAGTAGATTAAGGTCAGGAGACTCATTTCCACTTCTCCCTGGGTTAAGAGAGGTGGGGTAACCCATCAGGTGGGGGCTAGTGCTGGAGAGTTTGTTACGAAGTCTGGATAACCTTGGTCTGACATGTATACAAGTTACTGACAACTAAAACAAAATTGAAACTAATGATACAAAGATGACCCGGAGTTTTAGTTTTATTTTAAATGTATTATTCATTTGTTTCTTTTGTGCTGGTACTAGAGCTTGAACTCAGGGCCTGGGCACTGCCTCTTAGCTTTCTCACTGTGGCTACTAGAGCCACAGCTCCATTTTCAGCTTTTCTTTTTTTTCTTTTTTGTTGGTCGTGGGGCTTGAACCTCTGGGCCTGGTCGCAGTCCCTCAGCTCTTCAGCTCAAGGTGAGTGCTCTACCACTTGAGTCACAGCGCCACTTCCAGTTTCTGGTGGTTTATTGGAGATAAGAGTCTCATACTTTCCTACCAGGGCTGGCTTTGAACTGCAGTTCTCAGATCTCAGCCTCCTGGTAGCTAGGATTACAGGTGTGAAAGACCAATGCCCTGCTACTTCTGGCCTTTTGGTAGTTAACTGGAGGAAAGAGTCTCATGGACTATCCTGCCCTGGCCTAGCTTCGAACCACAATGGACCCTTAGCTCTTAGCCTCCTGAGTAGCCAGGAATAGCAGTATAAGTCACTAGTGTTTGGTGAGGCTCCTTTATTTATTTTTTTGTCGGTCATGGTGCCTGAACTCTGGGCCTGGGCGCTGTCTCCCTCAGCTCTTCAGCTCAAGGCTAGCGCTTTACCGCTTGAGCCACAGTGCCACTTCTAGCTTTCTTTGCTTATGTGGTGCTGAGGAATTGAACCCAGGGCCTCATGCATGCAAAGCAAGCACTCTACCACTGAGATGCTCCAATTCTTGTTGAGACTTTTTCCAAGAAGTAAATTCATAGGAAGAGAAAAGAGGCAGGGTTATGCAGAGTTCTTCATGGCAGGGCTGGTGGTACCTGCTAGGCCTCTTAGAAGACAAGATGGTAGGCACCACAGCACAAATGATAGGGAAAAAAATCAATCACAATTATTACAGCAAAGAATTCTATCAAGGTTAAAGAAATATTAGCACTGTGTCTACCAAAATTGTCCCTTTTGTGTTATTGGAGTTCCAGTTTTGTTATGAATTTTTTTATGATTGGCAAATACCCGATTATTTATTGTATATAATGTGATGATTTGATATGCACATACATTGTGAAATGTTTGTGTCCATCAATCTGACAAACTCATCCACCCCCCTCACATGGTCTCTAACATAGTAAGTATACATTATTAACCATAGTCACCATGTCATATATTAAAACTCTAGCAAAAGTTCACCTTAATGAGCTAAAGTTTGTAAAGTTTGGACCCACAGCTCATTTCCTTCCTGAGATTAAGGAGAGTTAAATTTGTCTGCTTTGTCTAAATCTTTCAAACTCCTAACTTGTATGAGCATAATCCTTGGATTATTAGAAGAAAGCATGGCTTGAGGCCAGCCCAGGCCAAATGTTAGTGAAACCCTTATCTCAGTTAAGTCAGGTGGGTTAGTGCACATCTCTGAACTCAGCTATTGGGAGGCTGTAGGTAGGAAGATCGTGATCTAAGGCTGTCCCAGGCAAAAATGCAAGATCTTATTAGAATAACAAAAGCACAAGGGCCTCAAAGGGTAGAGCATCTGTCTAGAGATGAGGCGGCCCAGAGTTCAAATCATTGTACCACAAGAAAAAAGATAAAGGCCAAGTAATGTCACAGCAGGGCACAATCAAAATGATCGACTCACTCTACGTGGATTATACTGTAAATGTTATGCTGTAACTAATGGAAGGAAAACAGGAATGATATGGGAAATGTTCCCTGGCCTTCCTTCAACAGGCAATTTCTACATTTACTCACTTAAATAACACTGTATGCTTTTTGATAATATGAATAGGAAGAATGAGAAAAACAGCTTAAAGAGTTGTAAGCAGAGCTGGGCGCCAGGGGCTCATACCTATAATCCTAGCTACTCAGGAGGTGAGATCTATTAGGATCATGGTTCAAAGCCAGTCCAGGCAAGAAAGTCCATGAGACTCCTATCTCTAATTAAGCACCAAAAACCCAGAAGTGGTGCTGTGGCTCAAGTGGTAGAGCACTAGCCTTGAGCTGAAGAGCTCAGGGACAGCGACGAGGCCTAGAGTTCAAGCCTACTGCAGACAAAAACAAAACAAAAATCAGTTGTAAGCAGTAGCATAGTGCATGGGTCAGTTGTGTTTTCTTAAACAAGATGTGTGTATTTATACTATTTGTGTGTGTGCATGTGTGCACAGCGTTTAATAAAGAACAATGTTGAAGCATTTCACTAAAGGGAAAATAAGCTTGATTATTTTTTAAGCTGTTTATAATTTTTTCTTAGTGAACACAACAATTACTAAACAATTTGTTGAATGGAATTTGATGATAAGACAACTCATGGAGAATGGCTTTTGAGTTTTATCTATTAAATCATATAAAAGTATGAAATGTTCATAAGAGAAAAAATGCTTCAAAAATACTACTTCTGATACATATATAACTAATAAAAATGATAATCAGTGATACTTTCAAATGGCCAATAAACATTAATAAGTTTCAAAATGCATTAGGAAAAAATTTCTTACAAGTTTTACTTAGAAAATATTTATTGTATCTAGGCACTGGTGGTTTTCCTCTAATCCTAGTTACTCAGTAGGCCCAGAGGCTTGTGGTTTGGAGCTAACCTGGGCAAAAAAATTTGCTCAACTCCATCTCCAAAATAACCAGCAAAAATCGAGACTAAGGAAGCATGTATGGCTCAAGCGGCTGAGCACCATCCTAGAAAAATCAAGGCCCAGAGTTCAGACTCTGGTGCTGACAAAAAAAGAAGAAAGGACGAAAGGAAGAAAGAAAAGAAGGGAAGGAAGAAAGACAGGCAAGGAAGGAAGGAAGGAAGGAAGAAAGACAGGCAAGGAAGGAAGGAGGGAAGGAAGAAAGGCAAGGAAGGAAGGAAGGAAGAGGGAAGGAAGGAAGGAAGGAATATTCATTATAAAAAAAGTTACATGCTGGGATAGAAGTGCACTCAAGAGGTGGAAGAGAGGCAGGAGAATCCTGAGTTAAGTCAGACTGAAGGACATGATGATACTTTCTTGTAAAACAAAAAGGTTAGCCATATACTGCCACCTAGAGGCACCCTCTGTAAATACAGCTTGTTTTCCATGTTAACAGCGAACAATATGGACATCTGTCCATTCATCTCAACTCACCACTGTAGGAACAAAAATACAGAAGAAAACCAGACAATAAAGCTAAAGTATTTTATTAATAATTTATTGTCAGTAAGAAAGACTGGCTAACGGTAGTTTTCAGTAAAAACCTTTACAAGACCATTGCATCACAAATATACAGACACTATAAAAACTGTGTCATGGTGGTTTTGGTTCTAAACAGTTATGCAGAAGGTCCCCGTTACACTTTCCGATAATGAAAAATGCATATTATCCTAAAATACAGCAACCCACTTAAGACTTGTCCATGTATCAGATCTTCCCCATCCTATGTACAGCTAGAAATAATAACTACATTGAAATGTGTTAATGAAATGTCATACTTCAGTAGAACATATAATGAAACCCTGGTTATATTTTAAAAAAAAAAAAGAGTGCTAGATAATGACACTAACACCATCAAAGTTCAGCCAAAAACAAATGCACAAAAGTACCTTGAAAAATCTAGTTAAAACTGAAAAAAAAATCATATCTGTACATAAAATTTACAAACAGGAGAGACAGGAGAATTAATCAAATCTACATAAATACATGAATCATGCTAAGGTGGTGACAGGACTGATTTTTCTTCTATTTTAACACAGACGAACGTAAATACAAAAAGATGCTCAGAAATGGCACAGCCAATGAAGATCTTGTCCCATTACGGTAGGTCTGGGGGCTGGAAATGGCTAAGGTGTCAAGAGGTGCAGGATTCAGTGCAGCCATGCCCATGGGAACTCACTGAAAAAAAAAGAAAAAGAAAAAGAAAGCGCTCAAGCACTGCTACAGAGAACAATGCAGGTCAGCGAGACCATCTCTAGGTTTGTTAAAGTCCAGGCACTTTGGGGGGAGTCTGAGCATCAGACTTGAGTATGCTGTTGGGAATCCAGTGGAGGAATGGTCACCTCTTCAAAGTGACTGTCGTCTCCGCTCTCATAGTCACTCATCATGACCTCAGACTCCACTTCACAGCACGCTGACACATCGGAGCAGGAAGCCGTGGATGCGTACACAGACATGGGCATGTTTTCTATAGCGGGGGCTTCAAAGTTTCTCTGATACCCTGGCGGGTAAGCAGGGGCAAGGGATTCTCTACAAGTACTATTCTCACTGGTGGCTTTTTTTTGCGGTTCAGACATATCGACGGGATAGAAATTGGGCAGGTACTGATTCAAGTTGAACCTCTGCCGATTTCTGGATGAAGAACCCAAGCTACCTGCAGCAGGCATGTCTCTGGGTGGGTGTATGGATTCAAACTGATCGCTGAATTCTGGGGGCAATGGTGGCAGTTCATCGGGGGCAGGGAAGTCTTCTGGTGGTGGTGGGAAGTCGCTTTCAATGTCGTAGCCTCCGGGGTAATAGTCGGTGTCGATGGTGTTTGGATCTGCTGAGTAGAGAGGTGTGTGCTCGTCAATCACCTCGTAATTGGGGAACTCCTGTATGTCTGGCAGGGGAACAGCTGGCATCCAATCTGATGTATCCCAGTGGTACCCTTGGTAGAAGAGGAAAGACATTTCAATGTATTTCTCCTAAGCTTTTTGCATCTTGGGCGGGGGGTGGGTGGGGGGGAGAAACAACTCCATGTATTAAAGACAAAAAGATGTCACAGTTTTTACGCATTCATTCAAAGCTCATCACTTGGGAAACCCTTCATCTTCACCTGGAAGACAAGAGCCCCGCCCTGGTGCAGCTTTGAAGCTCAGGATGAACGAGGATCAATTTGTACACACGGTGCACTTGCAGTTTTAGTATACACTCAACATTCAGGACATGAAAAGGCTTGTGAGAGAAGCAGGTCGTAGGCTTTAAAACACATGCAGGTTTCTGTACATAGGACTAGTCACCCTCAAGATTCCCTCAGTGATTAAGAACTCATCACTCTACACGAAGGAAGGCATTAGTACCATCTTAGGACATTCATTGTGTCTTTTCAGAAAGGAAGAATCTCTATTGAGTAAGATTATCAGACGCCAATCTGTACTACTTGTCATTAAGTGATACGAATTAAGGCAAACTTAAAAGTAACCCTTAATGTGTTAAAATTTAGAAAAGGCGCATCCTTTGTAATAATGTGGTACATATGATATAAAAGATGTACTATTTTTCATTAATAAAACAATGCATGATCTTACTACGGCTAAATATCAAACCATACCTCCAAATACACTTGAACAAGTGATGAAGAGTAATGTAAGAACCAAGGATTATTCTGGACTATATAAACTGCTGTGATTTAAAAAAGATAATACAACTCCCTAGTTAGGGATAGACATTTCTTTTCTTTTTTATGTCTTCCTTCTTAGAAATCCTCTGGCATCTAGGAAAAGGTTAGCAGTGCATGCTTAGCATGCAGGGCTCAACAGTCAGGGACTTAGTTTCTGCTTCAAACACCAAGCAACCAAGTGAAGCAAGTCAGCACTGGGTCAGATCTTCACCAAGGACTTAGTGATTATCAATGAGCAACTGGCATGCATAAATCACCTCTTGATTTGCTGAGGTCAGGAGCAGCCAAAGATTCTTTTGGTGGCAGAGTAGAAAGAAAAGAAAACATCGGTAATTAAAATGGACAGGCAGCTAAAAAGCAATAAAGATAAGTACACAGTACCATGTAAGCTGTTTGTCAAGGCCCAGTCAGCCATGTACTTCTGTATGTACCCCATTATCTATACACATTCCACATGGCTGAGAAACTCACGAAGCACAAAGAAAACAGGATATGGAAAGAGGAAATAAAAAGCGATGATGACCAACTGGACACTCTGCTAGGAAATTCAAGTGCTATTGCTGCCACCGACAGTTTAAGTCTAGAAATGAACAAGTTTCTTTGGAATAAGGAAAATAAACTCTGCAGGTTCTCATCAAACATAAACGAATCAGTCATTTCTGCAAAAATCTAAATACATCTCAAGCTACTGGTAGCACATTATAATCTCAAAGGTATATTAAGTTCAGAGGAATTTCTGAATAAATTTTGTGTGAATTTAGGTAGGTAAAGCTGAAAACCTCTTCCAACCTATCCTCTGTGAAAATGATTTTTTTGTTTGTTTGTTTAGGTCGTTCGTAGGGCTTGAACTCTGGACTTGGGTGCTGTCCCTGTGCTCTTCAGCTCAAAGAGAGTGCTCTACTGCTTGAGCCACAGTGCCACTTCCGGTTTCCTATGGTTTATTGGAGATAAGAGTCTCACGGAGTTTCCTGTCCGGGCTGGCTTTGAACTGCGATCCTCAGATCTCAGCCTCCTGAGTAGCTAGGATTACAGACATGAGCCACCGGTGCCCGGATTGTGAAAATGATTTTATATTTGTACAGTTCACTGCTACCCTCAGAGAAATTATAATTAGCATCACTTATTCTTCAGTCTTCTTTCCACAAATCTGTCATTGCAGTTGCTCTTTCTGGGCTTTTGTTTATATACAGAAGCTGGCATCACATCAAAGGACGTGGTCTTAAGGCTCAGCATCATGAGTCACTTATCCTGGGCTAACTTCCCACTCTCTTTGAAACAAGGGTAACAATCCCTTAGATGAAGAGGAGGACTAGGTATTGCTTATTTAGGGGACAATAACAACAAAAAGAAACAAACAAAAACCCCATCAGATCTCTTTAGTAACTGGGCAGCTTGTCCCTGCCTCTTCTAGTCAAATTCAGCAGGAAATTCCCCGCCCCCCACCTACATCTGGACAACATTCACATCCTTACAGAAAGGAACCCTGGAGCATTATGGTGATAATGCTGGTATACTCTTGATGGCCTCTTCAAGTTTGCCAGCAGTGATCTTTAGATGAGGAACATCACAATCAATCCGGAACTTGCTAAAAAGAATTCTCAACACCCATCCCAGACCAGCTTCATCAGAGACTTGGCACAGGGAACAAGTCAATCAGCTCTAGCAACTCCTCTAGGTTCTCTGACTTACACTAGCCTGTAAAGTCCTATCTTGTGCCATCCACCTGTGATTACTCCAGTTTCAGTGCACCAATGAAGGGCTGGTTTGATTTGAAATAAGGGAAGTGGTCAATGCCTCTTTTTTTAGTCCTAATCAGAGAAAGCTTCACAGCAAACGACTTGCACTAACTTTCACCTTGAAAACCTACCTTCTGCAGTCTTTGATCATACTCAGGAAGAAGGGGAACCAAAAGTCCAGAGTCAGTTTTAAGTAGTTATAAAAGCTTGTGGTATTAGTTTTAATTATGTTCATATAAAGAGGCTTCTATTATAATTCTTAAGAAGTTAAAACTATGCCAGAAGTCTTAGCATTGTGTTACAGGAACATAAGTTCTTGAGATCCTATAATTTATTTCTGATATCACTATTGATGAATAGAAAGTAACGAAAGACATAATAACATACATAGACATAATTTTGCAAAGCATCTGTGTTATGAATATTCACATCTTCAAAATTACAGCTCAAAAATACCGGACCTCCCCAAGTCACAATCCATTTTAGAACATTATAACAGGTAAAACAAAACAAAACAAAACAAACAAAACATCAACTCCACAGTACTCCAGTGACCCAGTCACCATAAAACACAAACACAAAGCAAAACATTCATGACTATACCTTCATTATTCACCGTGTCAACTACAGCATTGACAAGGTGTATTACAGTCACTATGGAAGCTTGTAAAAAGGGACAAAAGGAGTGAATTAGGAAAATCCTTATTTAGAATACAATGCGCAAAAGAAAATTCTTCACATTATGCAAATTTCCCCTATAATTTAAAAATGTGACGTGAATGCCTTATGATCATATTACTATGACTGACTTGAACTGCTAGCTGTGTTACTTAGAGACTTTTTCTAATCAAGCTATATGTTAACAATGGAGCTGGGAAGCTGGATCAGTGGTAGAGTGCTTGCCTTGCATGCATGAGGCCCTGGGTTCAATTCATAAGCACCACATAAGCAGAAAAAGCTGGAAGTGGTGCTGTGGCTCAAGTGGAAGAGCACTAGCCTCGAACTGAAGAGCTGAGGGACAGTGCCCAGGCCCAGAGTTCAGACCCCACGACCAACAAAATAAATAAAAAATAAAAATGTTAACAATTATCATTAAGGATCATGTTGGAGCAGAACAAGTCTTAGGTCAACACATCATGTGCAGAAGACATCACATTTAAAGAGCTTGTATACTACCCCAGAGGAAGGAAATTTAAGGAAATATATTTGCCTGTAAGAACAAACATAGTTTTGTCCATTGGTTCCAACCCCAAATTTGTCATTTTGTACATGCACTAAACAGATGGTAAGCTAACACACCAGCAATCTATCTGGCTGCTTCCTGTGTAAACGCTGTTTTTATTTGCATATTATTTAAAAAGTGTGTCACCATAAGTGTGTATGCATTTGATGGGCAGAAGGAGGGCCCTCGTTGTCTACATCCTAATTTCATCCTCACCATGGGAACCTCTGAATCTGTTAGCACTCAGGGCGTAACGGATACTGATATAATTAGACCTTAGGATGGGGGAGATGGAAAGATTTTCCTGCATTATCTAGGTGGACTGAATTAGTTGATAAGACAACAATCCCTTCCATCTGTGTGTGGAGCCTGGAGTGATGACTGCAGGTAAATGGTCAATGACATGCAATGTTCTTTGCTGCTCCTGAAAGAGGATAAAGCCATGAGCAAAAGAATGTGGGTGACTAGTGCACATTGGGAAAAGTAAGGAACAGATTCTTCCTTTACTTCCCAGAAAGGACTGTTGTCTGCTGCCACTTTGTCTTTAGTCTAGTGAGATACACGGTCCATTTCTAATCTAAGGTGAACCTGAGAACTGTTTATACTATTTTAAGTCCTTAATTCTGTGGTAAAGGTTTTCATAAAGGTTAGAAAACAAATAATAAAATATGAACTGCAGAATTTAAGTTTATGACTGATACTGATAAAAATGTGATCCTTAACTAAAATGTAAATACCTCTGGCATATGTCTTTTCTCCACACTTTTAAAACTGGCAATTCATTTTCTTTTTTTTTTCTGGCCGTGGGGCTTGAACTCTGGGCCTGGGCACTGTCCCTCAGCTCTTCAGCTCAAGCCTAGTGATCTACTACTTGAGCCACAGCACCACTTCTGGTTTTCTGAGTGGTTTATTGGCAATAAGAGTCTTACAGTCTTTCCTGTCCAGGCTGGCTTTGAACCACAATCCTCAGATCTCAGCCTCCTGAGTAGTTAGGATTATAGGCATGAGCCACCGGTGCCTGGCTGTCAACTCATTTTCATAACTAATGACCACAACTGAAGAGCACTTAAGAGTAATAAGGTATCAATAAAAAGAACTAGAAAAAAGAAAAATAATGAAAAATTATTTATCCTTCCTTCCTTTCCTATTTTCTTCCCTTCTTTTTTCGCTCACTTTCACTTTCTCATTTTGTATAGTTACTGGAGATTGAACTCAGCTGTACCTTAGCTTTTTTGTTCAAGCCTGATGCTCTGCCATTTGAGCCATACCTCTCTGTGAAAATGTGTTTATGAAGAACACTTAAAAGCCAAGGTATAAAGTACATAAATTAGCAATATAGACATTTTAGAATTGAAACCAATGGAAGAAACAATCCTACTTTGTTACTGTTGGTTTAACAAGCAAAAATACATCCACTTATTCCATCACAAATTAAATATCATAAGTAACACTCTTGAAATTAGAAATGAATGGGATATACTTTGGCCATCTTTAATTTAGTAAGGGCTCTGTAATATTTTCTGAACTAGGTGACTTATGGACTACAGAGATGTAATCTATTATGAACTATATTATCCTAAGTGCTGGATGACATTATTATGGATCAGTGGATTATTTCTTTCCATCAAGAATATATAAACACATTAAATTTTTACCCAAGTTGAAAAACTATAATGAAGCGTACAAATTCTAAGATTCAAAAAGTTTTACTACAGATGGCCTTCACTGTATTACTGAACAATATCGATAATTTTCTGTACTGGTATGTATTCATAAGGTGAGCTGCTTATCAGCACAATTTACCCTAGGGAAATTGGAAGAAGCTAACTGGTACCATCAATCCCCCTGCCAAACTTTCTTCATTAAAAATATAATCAAACTTACTAGCAATCTCTTAAACTGCGCTCTCAGTCAGTACGCTCTGATCCAAATGGGAGCTGGGGCCGCAGTGGGATTGAGGGAAGAGACAAATAAAACCTTGTGTGACGGAAATGGAACATTTCAGATCATTACAGCTCTTTTGTGTGTGTGTATTTGTGTGTGTTGCGCAGACAGAAAAGCTGTTACGAGAGTTTTTGGAAAACCCACAAAATTTCTATAACATTTACTATGCTGCAAAAGAAAAAGCAACCCAGATTAGGCAATCAAATAAAAAATCTTCCAATTAATTACATACTCTTTCCTATTACTGACACATTGCAACAGTTAAAATAGCTATTCCTTAAAAAAATTTTTTTTCAGTGTTAAATACTGAATCATCTGCATGGTAGCGCTTAGGATATATTTAAGGTATTTTCCCCAGTTGATGTTCATGCAAATATTTACAAGGCATGGTCGAAAAGTGTGGGATGTGGAACCCTCTGGAGATAACTATTGCATGTGTGTACTACATACGGCAACATGAACAGCACCACATACAGCAGACAGCTACTGCCCGGGACATACTGACACTCACCGTTGTCATCACAGGACTCAGACTGGAAGGAGCTCAGGGACTGCACTTCAGAAAGGCTCTCCCGGGCACTGTATGGCTGGGAAGGCTTTTCCTCTAATGGCTTCTTTGAAAGACAAGGATCGAGATCCACCACTTTAGCTAAAAGGAAGAGTTGAAAAACATTAGGTTCCAAGTGGGTCAAGGGCTCTGGCTTCCTGCCTGAGACTTGATAAACTTAAAAGAAAACAAAAAGATGACAACAACAACAACCACCAAATAAAACATCTTAGAACAACAACAAAACAAACCCAAAAAAACTAAAAGGCCTACAAATATTCTTGGATATTCACAGAATAGAATTTCGCCATCAACTGGCCTGTGGATACCATCAGACAATAAAGGCTACTGAAATTTTTTTGTCTGAAAATAGCACATATAACAGTTTCTTCTAAAACATTAAATAAATGCCAAGTCACTAATATGATAACTGCTACTTCCTCCAGCTATATTTCTTAATAATTCTTGCACGGAAATGCTCCCAAATAATTGCTGAACACCTGTATCCATTATAAAAATGAAATGGATCTTTCCAGAATATTAATTGGAACATGACCAGATCCAAATTCTACATTAAAATGCCCAACTACCACTCCTGATATACAAGTTTCCAACTCATAAGCTTTTCAGATTCGGAACATTAGTTATCTGCATCCAATGACGCTGTTTTTCGCTTGAACCATCAATGGCATGCAGAACACTGCAATGTCCCTTTCTATCTCAGTAACATTCAAGTGAGGGCAGGGTGGCTCTTACTGTCATAGTCGAAGTCCCAATTTGGCTTCTGAATGGAGTCACTGTCAGAAGGAGAGTTGGAAGGAGGTGGGGGAGGCAGGTTGGGGGCCACGCTGCAGACAGCCACTGTTTTTCGGTGTCCATGCATAGACTCGGGGTTAAAAGTACTGAATTCTGGATGCTCTGGGATGGCAGATCCTTCAAAGGAGTTCCGGTCAAGATTGTTCCTGGAGTCACTTGGAATGCTTGGAGTGTAGGAAATGGGACGGACAGGCACCTGGGGTGGTATGTCCGAGTAAATGTTCTTATTGAGCTTCGAATCGAAGTAAGGTCTTTGCAAGAAAGCTGTAGTTTGTCCCAAGTGTTTGTCTTCTGGTTCAGCTTGGTGCTTCTTCTTCCGACTAATCATCTTGCGGCAGAGGACAAACACCACCACCAGTAAAAATATCCCTGCTACGAAAACCACGATTCCTATTCCTTCGGCCAACCCGATATTCCATGGGGTGGACACATACTGATTGGGTGCAGCATCTTCGCAGTGTTTCCCTCTGTACTCATGGCTGCAGTTGCAGTGATAGGAGCCATGCGTGTTCTCACAGAGTGCCCCGTTACGGCAAGGGTTTCCAACACACTCGTCAATGTCACTTTGACACCTGCCAAAATGGCCGAGAATGAGGGAAAAATCTTCACAATGTATGTCAGACAATGCCAGAACCTATTATTCTCCAGAGCCTAGAGATTCCACTAAAACCCTCCTTTATAAAGCAGACCAAACCAAACCAAACCAAATTTGAAGACACCTGAAAACCTATCAGCAAAAATAACTGGGACAGTCAGTGCTGGAGGTTCATGCCTATAATCCTAAGGTACTGAGAAAGCTGAGAGTTTAGTCACTCTGGGCAAAAAATTCTGTGAGATTCTTAACCTCTAATTAACCAGCAAAAAGACTAGAAATGGAAGTGTGTGGCTCAGGTGGTAGAGTGCCAACTTAGAACAAAAAATAGCCAAGCCAGAGTGTGAGGCTGTAAGTTCAAATCCCAGTGATGGCCTAAAAAAAAAAATCACTGTGAAATAAACAAAAACAAGAACAAAAAAACAAACAACCCCCCCCCAAAAAAAACTTTTGTGGACTAATTAGTCACTTTGTTATATGCTCTGAATGTTTGGAAAACAAACATATCAATTATTTAATTACCATTGTTCTAGGATTCAACAGAGTTCGCTACTAACCCCACAGCCTAAACATCAGTTTGTTTTTAGTTGTTTCAGAAAAGCTTATTATTGAGATATTTGTCCTTTGATAAATCCATGCTGTAACTCTTCTGATAGAGTGCATTAAAGCTGTAAGAATACGCTTCTGATTGGGAATGGTACATCCTATAAAACATGTGAATGGTTGGAAAACTCTTTTCCAATTTAAAATGGTATATCCCCTGTTGAAAACTTTCAGAGGTATCTTATGCTTACAAAGCAGATCACAAGTCCTTTCTGCTTTCCCCAACAGGGGCATACAACATACTGTGACATCTCTCTGTCTCTCCTTCCTCCTTCAGTCAACTGGCTCTACTTACCATCCCACAGACCCATCCCTCATCTTGCACAGTTCTGGCCATGAATACAATTTTGTCAAATGTATGACATTATTCATTGATTAGCATTAGGGAAGTCAACTTTGTAAACTCAGGCTATGTAATGAATGGCATGATGCAGGATTATAATCCCACAGGCAAAACTACAAGAGATACCCTTCAACTTTGTACATTAGCCCAAGGAGGCTGATAGTGAAGGCTTATCAAAATCACAACAGAGAACATGCACGGACTGATTTCTTCTGTAAACTGACTTGAAAACAAATAGGCTAATAGAAAGAGGCATTTGAAACTAAAAACTGTCATCCATTGTATTCAAGATATAAGAATCACTTCTATGCCTTTCTGTTAAACGGAAAATTGTAATCACCTTTTAGGATTGAGATAAGAATTAAAAAAGATGAGAAATTTAGAAAGGTTTCTTAGGTGTTAGTTAGAGCATATTAAAAAAAATAATTATCATTATTTTCAAAGTTGGCCTGGCACAATTTCACACTCACTGTATTAGAAAACAATAAACTCACATATTGTTCAAGTGTTTTCTGCCTACCACAAAACCATGCATTCTTTTTCTATAAGTAATCCCTCTAAAGTAATACAGTAGGGATTTTCAGACATAATAATATTAATCTGCTTGATATTTTCTTTTATCTTAAAGAAGTGAAACATAAGTGATAAAAATGCCAATGAGAATTACTAAATTCGAAAACAATGTTGTCTGAATTAATGAAGTACTGCTGTGTCAGCTAATGAATATAATATTAAGAGGCAAATATAAATCCTGAAAGAAAACATTTACCTTTCTCCCCTAAATCCTGAATCGCACTGGCAAACAGCACCATCCAAACTGTCAAAACATGTTCCGCCATTTTTACAAGGCTCATCCTTGCAATAGGGACTCAGTTGGCACCTGGTAATAAGGAGAAAGCATGCATGAACTAAGCACTAAGTGAAGAACACAGATGCTTTACAAGCATGTTTAAAAAATTCAAACAAGTCTTCAGTGGCTCAAGCCTTTACTCCTGGCTGAAAGAACTCTTTTAAGAAAGCTTAGGCTGATCAAATTTTAGGCCAGCTTGGGAAAAGGAAAAAAAAAAAAAAACAAAAAAACTTTCAAGACCTCCAACTCAACCACTATGAGGTGCAGTCCAGCATGTCTGTCATCCCAGATATGTGGAAGGTGAGATTGAGAGGATTACGGTTACAGGCTACTCAGACACAAAAGTCCACAGGGCTCCCTCAACTGAAGAAGCCGAGAGTGGTAGAAGCCTAAAGTTAAAAGTAGGAGGATAGCAGTCTAAGCACACACTGGGCAGGAAGTGAGTCCTTATCCCACAAATATACAGGGCAAACAAACAGCTGGAGGTGCTTGCTGCTCAGAGCTAGAGTGTCAAGCAAGCCCAAGGCCTTGAGTTCCAATGTCAGTACAAACAAAAACAAACAAGCAAAACACAATCAATGCTAGAACGTGGCTCACGTCTATAATCCTAGATCTCAGGAGGCTGAGATCTGAGGATTGAGTTTCAAAGCCAGCCTGGGCAGAAAAGTCCATGAGACTCATCTCCAATAAGCCACCAGAAAACGTGGAAGTGGCGCTGTGACTCAAGTGGTAGAGCACTAGCCTTGAGCTGAAGAGCTGAGGGACAGCACCCAGGCCATGAGTTCAAGCCCCACAACTGACAAAAAGAAAAAAAGAACGTACCATGAACAAAAACTCCACATACCTCTGTCCAGTATATAGTCCTCTACACTGGCAGACGAAGTCTCCGTTGTCTACCACACAGGTGCCGCCATAGAGGCAGGGGTTGGAAGAACAGGGGTTGACGCTCACCTCACAGTATGTCCCTATGTACAGGGCACTGCACTTGCAGTAATAACCTACACATGAGCAAAAGAGAACAGTGTCTAATCCCAAAGAGTCATATATTACCTTTATGTTGAAGAGAAAACCGAGTCTTCTGAATCTCACTTAATTAAAATATTATTTTATAAGTTTACTCTACCATCCACATCAAGTTCTATTTATTAAGCATATGATGGCTGTCATTTTCCCTATGTTTTATCACTTCTAAATGATCTGACAAGAATTAAGGATATAGAAATACCCAAGAATCCTAGAATGCTAAGGGTGTCACAACTGACAGATCTGGAAATACTTCAGCAGGGGTTCAAGGCCTAGAAAATCTCTATGGCTAACAAGACTCTAGCAGACCCTCTGTGCAGAGCCATCAGATAAAGGACAATACCAAGAACTGAGCAGAAAGAAGTGAAGCTATTTCTAAGTTCCTAAGTTAATGTCTACAGAATTGGAAGATACATTTCGAGTTAGCTATGCTTGGCCTGTAACTATTGGCACAGGGCAAGGCATGTATAAAATGCAGTTCTGCTCAAAATATTACTGCAGATCAGTAGTCAGAGAAACTGTTCTCTTGTATCTAGCTCCTGGGAACAATTCTAAACCCAGCTCTGCTCTGCTGTGTTCTAACATATACTGCTCAATCTGGACGGCACTGTCTGTATTGTCTACACTATCTGACTACATATACATATACATATATATGTGGGGATGAACAGGGAGATTACGGTTACATAAGTAATGATTACATTTCATTTTGAAATTTACAACCTGGGGGAGGAGGGAGGGTAAAGTGGGAGAAAATGAGGGAGGGGTGACAATATTAATTGAATAAAAGGAGATTAAACAAAAATATGTGGGAACTTTCCCTTAAATGTATACATGTGCAACCTTTTGAAGACTAGAATGTTACCAGGCCTACCTCCCGTAGGTGATGGATTGCAAATGCCTCCATTCTGACAGGGGTTGCTTGAGCAGTCTTCCGTAGCTGTTAGCAAGCAGCCAGGAGATATATCCACCGACTCTTCCATGTGTGCATAGCTTCTTGGCTTGCTATTTAAAGGCAGCTCCTGTCCATTCAAATAAATGGAGTCCATACAGCCCCTGAAACCATTACCAACTTGCGGGCTTCTTCCATGCCTTGTTCCTTGTTGACGGATGTGCCCCCCAAAGAACACATAGTTATCCAGGTTCAGGGTTTTTAGAGTCCCTGGGGCTGTGCCTGATGCAGTGTGGACTTGGTCTAGAACCAATCTAGCATAGTTTCCATTCACTTCAAGAGCCACTGTGTGCCACTGCCCATCATTGACTTGGATGCTTTGAACAGAAACAATGCCAGGGCCACTTCCACAGTCAAATTTGTACTGCAGTCTTCCATTATGAATCTATAAGGAAAAACAAAACAAAACACAATGCTTTTCTAGAACTAATTCTGGTCTCTGACAAAGAATCTATAAGAGGTGTGTCTGGCAAATGAAAGTAAATTCAAATGACAAATGCACATCAAACTGGGTCATGAGAATGACCTCTATATATTCATTTTCACAAATGTTACATATTAAAATATTAAATATATTAAATATTAAAAGCAGTAAAAGTCAAAATTCAGTAAGTGGGCATAATACCCATCATTTTAAATATATGTAGGATACTTCTTCTGTAAATTTAAAATATTAGTAAAATGGAAAAACTAGAGATTATAAATGCTTATAAAACACTGAAATGAATGTCTGTACAAAGCAAAAGAATCTTTCATCCCACAAAGTATATCAAAGAATTCTTTGAAATGTGCAACTTATCTGTCCATCTTGCTTTACTCACCTTTTCAAATTGACAATCAGAATGTAAAATGGAATTGATAGTTTTCTAAGTTTGCTCCAACCATAGGTGCTAATTGCTTATGCCTGTAATTCTAGCTACCCAATCACAATTCAAAGCCAGTGTGGGCAGCAAAGTCCACGAGATTCTTATTGTCAATTAACCACTGAAAAGCTGGAGGTGTGAATCAAGTGATAGGGCATCAACCTTCGGCAAAAATGCCAAATACATACCTCCAAGATACTGTAGTCGGTTCCCCGAGCATACATTACAACTGCATGGGTTGAATAGGTTCTCAGCCTCATTGTCAATTTCATCTCTAACTTGTTTTCATTTTCCATCAGTCGGTATTTCACAAAGCTGTTTCCAGTAAATGTTATAGATGAACTCCCTGTGAATCACAAAGAGGAAAACTTAGTTGCTACTGTCAGTGTCTATTCATCTCTATGTTTGACTCATTGTAATACATGCGTTTTACATTATCTTTTGATTCCAGTGAAGAAAAAAAATACGTAAGAAATTTGGACAGTGATTCTTTAAAATAAAATTGTGCTTTGTCACTGCACTCTTACCTGGGCACTGTGCCAGTCTGCCGCCAGGACACACACAGGTGTACGCCTCTTCTCTGGGGTCAGCAATGCATTCAGAGCCTGCAGGGCATGGGTTCCCATCACACCCATGGTGGACAGGTGGGCATTTTCCCTCTTTTTTTTAAAATAAGAGGGGACAGAGAAACAGGAACATTTTAAAAAAGGAAAGATCTCTACAGAGATTAAAATCCAAGTAAAATACTCCTTTCACCCTCATTTTAATATATTCATGTATAGTACCTGTGCAGAGACACACAGCTGTCCTGTGGTGGCGGGGAGTCACAAAACTCAGCCTGGCTGTGCTGTGCGTCGACATAACGTTTTCATCCACTGATACCTTTTCATCACAGAACCTCCATGGGCAATCCAGTCCCGCACAGAGCTTGTGAAATACATCCAGTATCCTAACCCCTATGATTTCCTCAATATCAGTCACAGAAGAATTAATCTTGTGTAGGAGTTGTTTTGTGGAAAGCTGGGCGCTGCTACCTGATTTCTCTACAAAAAGTAAGACATCCAGATGTGGATGAGGTTCAGAGGGCTGCAAACTCACGATCTGTACATCAGTCCTCCTCACACCCAGGATGTTCCGTAGAGCTCGCTGGAAGTTGCGCCAGTAGTCACCAACAAACTCCTCTGGTGTGAGATTGGCAAAGCGAATAGCGATGGTGTGGTTCAGCATGTCCTGTGTTATCTGTCTGACATGCACTGTGATGTCTGCCATGGTGGTGAACTTCCCATCGGTTACACTGACGTTAAGAAGGTACTGCCCTAAGTCTAGCTTTTTGTGTGCGATCAGCTTACCCCCGGTGCTGGAAACAGAGAACAGGTTGTCCATCTGGGGATCAAGACTATAGGTTAAGGTGTCATACACATCTTGGTCTGTTGCATGGATCTTCCCAATGACACCACCTGAGTATTCCTCTCCAGAAGCAGTAATAAAAATCTCTAGTGGCAAAATCGCAGGAGGATGGACGCTTTCCTCAATGACTCTAATGTCAACATGTGCCAGAGATGACAGTGGAGGTTTTCCATTATCTGTCACCTATGAGAAGAGTCAGCATTGTCTTTGTTAATAAAACATGTTCATTTTGTTCAGGTTATACAAACTTACCAACTGTTAAATACTCTTTTCTCCATATGGGAGGCCTAATATGAAGGAAGAAAACAAATAACCCTCATAGACCTTTTACTAATTCATACCAAAGCTCATCTCATCACTCTTACAAGTAATGTCACAAATGTCTCAGCAAGGTGACAAAATGAAGGTGTGCAAATACAGAGGCCATACCTACATACATTTCCATTTGTTCCAAAAATGTAAGGTAACTATAAAAAGCTAAAAAGCTCTTCTCTGTGGGTCTACAACAAAATGGTAAAGTAAGCCATTGCTACCTTAACATGCAGAAAGTAATGATCCTTAGTTTTCCTCTTGATGGCAGCTGCTGTGTGGAGGACTCCTTGCTGGTTCACTTCAAAGGCTTGGTCTTCATTCCCACTCACAATGGTAAAGAAAAAGGGTGGACCGTTGTGAGAAGAATCTCTGTCAGTCACCACTAGCTGCAGCACACTGAAACCCACTGGCTTGTTTTCCTGCACCGAAATTTAAAAACCAGAGCAAAAAAAAAGAAAATCTTTCAAAACAATCAAGTCAATACGTTTTGGGGCACATGGGATCTTTTATAATATAAAATATACAAGCACAGCTTTCTTGCTGATTTACGTGCAAGGAAGAGGAGGAAGTATGGTGGAGGGACATGGAAGGTGGTGGGGAGAGGGTGGGAGGAAGGGAGCTGGGGCAGGGAATGTATTTGAGAGGAAAGGATGGGAAGGGTGGAGAAGGAGCAGACTCAGAAGCCTAGGGGTAAAGAGGTAGAAAAAAAATGGGGGTTATGGTAGAAATGGGGAAAGAAAAAGGGCAAGGGAATCAACAGCAGAAGGGATGATTATGCGAACAAAAAGAGGAGAGCGAATGATGGCAACAACTCAAAAATGTTCATCTTTCAGCATAAGTAGAGACTCCTCTAATTTTATTTTTCCTATTTTTCTGAAACATAGTCTTCTGAAGGGAAAGGTATTTCGAACGAGCTACTAAGTTCAATGACAGCTCATTTCAAGAATGCTTCATGAAGCCTTTACCACACCACGCTCACCTGGATGATTACACTATAGTTTCCCTTGGAGAAGATGGGAGGATTATCATTGACATCAGACACATCGATGTTCACGGTGGTTGTGTTGACTCTGGGAGGACTGCCATTATCAGAAGCTTGAACTGTGAGTGTGTAACCTGAAATCTTTTCAGGGAGAAGACAGAGAATGCATTATTATTTTCATAGAACCAATGAACCAGGATTAACTGTCAAGACTTACTGAACTCTGTCAAGATAATTCTCTACACTGCAAACGAGTGCAGTGCAAGTAATATGTACTTTTTCAACAGAAAAAGTTACCCAAATGATCAGATTCTCCACTGTTTCTCCAAAAGATCTTATTAAAGTGTTTTATTGCTAAAAAAAACCCAAAACCTTGCAGTTCTTTTATAGAACTAATACAGACAAATAATACAAATGGGTAGGAAAAAGTGTTAACATAACTCAAATGCCACTGCTTCAGTAATAACACAGAAGGCAGCCTTCCCTAGGGGCCAAATCTTGCTATTAGTCAGAAATACACAGCCATGAGCTGTCTCTCACCTTTGAGTGCTGACTCATTTCCAATACCTGAGGCCATGCCAGATCACTCTCTTCCTCAATTTCACACATGGATTGTGCTTAGCTCTCTAAATCCCTCAAGATAATTTCTGTGACCTCCTACAAGAGGAATCCAGCTTTTTTCTTAGGATTCCTGTTAAGCTCTTTCTTCCAAAGTAAGTGGTGAAAGCAGCCAGAAATCTAACTCCCTCAGTAATATTCTGCAGAACATTAGTTCTGCAAGAATGCTCCACTCAACTAAAAAAGGGGCTGCCAGAGCAAATTAGCTAGAAGAAAACCACTGGCTAATTCCTCTATCTCACAGTGGAAACAAGTATATTAAAGGACCTGGGTTTAGTTTTTATTTTTATTTTTTAAATAACTATGTGTTATGGTACATGCCTATAATCCCAAAACTAAGTAGGTTGAGGGATGAGACTCTCAAGTTGAAGACCCGTTTAGACTTTACAGTAAGAGTCTGTTTTAAACAAACAAGGAAAACAAACCAAACCAAACAAACAAACAAAAAACCTAATTTAAAAAACAATCCAAATTTTCCCATGCCTAACCATCATGCTTCCTAAACTCTTGGAAAACTCCTCTTCAAAAATCATAGGTCAGGAAAAACAAAACAAAAAGCCCTGAGAATCAAATTGCATTTTAAATATTTACATCCTTGCTTATCAGTTCCTGAGAAGAAGGCTAGTTCTGTTTGTTTTGGTATTTTACGTTCTGCCCAGCAGATATGAACACAAGGTATTTGTGTTTATTGATTGGTAATTTGTATACAACTTAAACCAAAGTCTTTCACTTACAGTTTCCCGGTCAAGAGATTTGGTAACTTTCACTTCTCCCCTGACAGGGTCAATTGTAAAAGGGCTTCCTTGGTTGCCATCTATGATGGAGTAGTGGATGTGGCTGTTTGAGGGTCCATCAGCATCATCAGCCACAACCTAGAAAACATCACTCTGTTTAGGAGAGAGCTAAAGAAAGAACAACTGTCTATAAAAGGGGCCATATAACAAAGCTAAGGACACCACTCTAATAGCCTAACAAAAAACTTTTGTTCTGCGGTGCTAGCGATTGCACTCATAGCCTCCTGTATGGTAGGTAAGTACTCTAACATAAGCTACATACCGACATCTTAGGTAGCTCTAACAATATTTTCAAATAGAGCTACTATGAAACTGGACTGACTTTACTAACAGTTACGATAAAAGTCTAGAAGAAAGCAGTAGAGGGAAATGATTCACCGTAATGACAGACTGCTCAAGAACAGCATCTTCACTGATGACCGTCGTGTAGGTGTCTTGGCTGAACACCGGGGTGTTGTCGTTGATGTCGGTGACATTAATGTTCACAGTTGCCAGATCGCTTAGTGAAGGCGTGCCTCCATCTGTGGCTTGTATGGTCAGGTAGTACTCATGGGAGCTTTCATAATCCAGATTCTCAATGATAAATATGGCACCTGCAGATAGCACCAAAATTACTTCCAGGACATTATAATTCCATGACCTTCTCTTATTTTCATTTAACAGATAACATTGTTTCCATTACACCAAGGTTTACCATTTATGTGTTTTCTGATTTCCAAGTCTATCAAATAATCAATTATGAAGTTACCAACCTCTAGATCTTTCATTTCTCTTAATTATTTTTCTGATACTGTGATATTTAAGCTGCTTTCCATTCAATGCAACTCATAATAAACACAATAAAAATTTTAAAACATTCGATGCTGTGCTTTTCTATTTCCTTATTGTTTTGAATCATTAAAAATTGCTTTTGGAGTTCTAAAAGTAACCATTTTATGATAGGGACTAAAAATACATTTTGAAACAGCATTATCACACACCTATTTATCACAAATGGCCACACACAAGTAAGTAGTTTGAAAGGGCAATGTCTTACAATGCTCTAAGACTTAATAGCTATTCTAGACCACTGGCTGATAAGGCCCCATGCAGTGTGTATGCAACAGGAGTCAAGAAGTGTCTCTGACTTTAGACCTTGCTGGTGGTGTTGTTGAGTGATTCAAACTACTTCAATGATTATGTGTCACCTGCTCAGTAAGGAAGACAGCACAATGAATATCAGATGCTTACTATAGAAACTAAGAGCTCAGAAGTTCAAAAGATGTTTCCACTTGGGAGGCTATTTCACATGCCTTTGACAGTGGGGATAAAAGAAGTAGCTACTCAAGGTCATCTATTATCAGGCATTCTTATCTCTACTAATGTGTGACACTTACATCATCTCTAAACTATTAGAATGTGATAATTCAGCTTTCTATTTTAAGATAATGTGCTTTGTAGTTTATAATGGATATGTCAGAAAACTATTTTACTAAGTAGAACCAACCCCATTTGGAAACAACAGAAAAAGAACATGGGTTTTATCTTTCAAGATTTCCACTTATTACTTTGCTTCGGGTAAGGTGCCAAACCAACTTTGCTGTTTGGGTGGAGGAAGGCTCCTATTATTTACATTGTAGGTTACCTGTTTTAGAATCAATGCTGAATTTTCCATGCTCATTTCCACTTATTATTGAGTAGGTGATTTCCGCATTTGCTTCAATGTCTCGACTTGCTGCATACACTTGCAGGACTTCTGTCCCAATGAGAATGTCCTCAGACACAGTGGCACCATACTCACGGTATTCAAACACAGGTGGATTGTCGTTTATATCCAAAACTGACACAATAACAGTGCCAGTAGCCGTCAACCTTCTTGGCAAACCTTGGTCTACAGCTTTCAAAATAATGGTGTACACTGCCTGTACTTCTCTATCCAAAGGCCTTTCTAATTGAATAATTCCAGATAACTCGTTAATGGAGAACTGCTCATCAGCAGAGTCAATCAGTGAGTAGGAAATCTTCCGATTCAAGCCTGTTGTGACATGAAAACGTGTCAGAGGATTTCATAGAAGGAAATATAAATAGTGTGTCACATGCTTTAAAAAGAAACAAGCTAATAGATTTGTTGATTTAAAATAGACATGTCACAGATAACAAATTAGCTCCATAAAAGTTTTTGAAAAATTTGTAAAACAATAACAATACAGTATTTCTGTTAAGATCCTGTGGTACACAGCTCCTTTGACACTAATAATTTCTTCACAAAATAACACTTCAGTGATCCAATGAGACATGAAAACCAGTTAATGGAACTACTCACTAGAATTTCTGCAATACTGCAGAGACATTATAGCAGTAATTTCACTGCATGTCAATTTGAGACTTCAAATATGCATTTTAAAATTAAGTTATTCTGAGGGTTTCATTCTACGACAAAGGACAAGCTAGTACAGATGCATGAGATGAGGTAACAGGCTGTACTGGGCATACCGTATGAAGACACAACGTTTGCTAGAGGTACGTACCTGTGTCTGCATCCGTGGCCTGCACTCTGGTCAACAGTGTCCCTGGCTCGGTGTTTTCAAACACGGTAATGGTGTATGGATCAGCAGTGAATTCAGGGGCATTATCATTCACATCTTCTAACATGAGCACAATATTAGCTTGACAGAATCTCCCACCTCCATCTGTGGCCTTCACGAGGAGATGATAAACTGCTTGTTCCTCACGATCAAGGGGGGCTAATGTTTTCAGTTCACCTAAACACAAGTGGAAGTAAATGGATTAATTTGACATTGGTGCGTCTTCTCTTTTTTTCCCTCTTATGATGACAAAATCTGAATAGAAGACTTCATAAAGAACAATTTTTCAGGGACCGCTCATGAACCTAGCAAATTGCAAGTTCTAGCTCTTTCCATCACAAGGACTTGAGAACAAGAGCCTTTTATATGACAATGTTGGCAAGTTAAAATGGCTATTGGAATATCCCCAAGTTAAAAAATACAGTAAGGATAAGGAAAATACCACAAATCATTTTAATTATGAAAAACACTGACACACAGACTTAAGATCACAAATTAAAGAAACTATATAAATAAAATACACACTATGTAAATAAACAGGCAGATAATTTGAGACCTACTTGATTCTTCTTAGTGAAATAGTTCAACAACCTAATTTCAATCATTCCTTAAGTGATACCGTTGCTGCTTAGTTTTTAATGTCATCCCAAATTTTATACATTAAATTGCTGTGTAGACTTCTAAATGATGTTAATTCTACAGCATCAATCCCACAGCATTTGAAAAGAACAAAATTTAACTTCCTAATTTTGTATGTAAACTAAAATCACTCATACAACATGATTCTGTTGGAAATGCATAATTATATTTGTCCTGGTTCTATCATTACCTGTGTCTGGATTTAGTTTGAATTTTTCTGCGCCAGAACCAAATAATGTGTAAGTAATTTCAGCATTGGAACGGATATCTGCATCTGTAGCAGAGACCTGCATAATCAATTTCCCAGGAAGGGCGTCTTCAGGAATGGTGTCTGAATATAAAGTCTGCAAAGATTTTAAACAATATTGTTAGAATAAAAACATTTGCAGTCAGCACTGACTGCCAGGGGAATAGCGAAAATCATTTCATTTGGCCCCAGAAAATGTAGGAAATGACTAAAGTTAATATTCAAGGAGCTTTTAAAATCTTAAAAAAATTCATGTTAAATGAGAATCCAGGACATAGTTAACTTTATGGCCCTGACTCAGACCTGATAGTAGACCAACAGAATACTAAGAATTTTATGTTGTACAGTCAGTTTCATACTGAATTCTTAGGACAAAATACAAGTAGTCATCCATATTCACCTAAAATTCAGTGAATAAACACTTTTTATATCTGCTTATTTTCAAGTACTGAAATATGTGTGTATGTGTGTATATACCATTTTTTTAAATATTTGAGAGAGGAGTGACCCCTGTGTGATTGGAAAAAACAGATTCTTCAAAGCCACGAAAAGGACAGGTAATGGACAGACAATTCTATTATCCTATCTGATCCTTTCGTCCCTTTTAACCTTCAAACATAATAGTTTATTAAAGAATCCATAACATAAATGAATACAAAAACATCAGTGGAAGGTTTTGTTGAATTCACTTTCTTTAGCTGAGCTCAAGTATATGGGTATTTTATGATTTAGGAAAAATGATACTTTGGAATATTGATAATTAAAAGTCTAGGGCCTTAATTTGATTATTTCCTAAGATGTTAGTTATTTAGTTTCCTTTTTTTAGAGAAGAAAGGACTATTTTATTAATTATAATTCCTAATTTTTAATATATAATTTTTATTGTGAAGATACTGTACAGAGGGGTCACAGTTATATGAGTAAGGTAATAAGTACATTTCCTATGGAGCATTGTTACTCCCATCCCTTCCCTCCCCACCTCCCCAACTCTTCCCCCCCAACCCCCCCTTGCTCCCCCCTACCCCAAAGTTGTAAAGTTCGTTTTCAACATTGTGTCTTGTACATCTCATTGTTACAATGGGTCAACCTGTATCCTTATTTCAGCATTTTGTTATTATCCTTCCCCTCCCCAAATTAGAAAAATGTATGTACAAGATGCAGGGCACGGGCATCTTCCCCCATGGTTCATGTTTAGTTTCTAAAAGAGAAGACGCAGACATAGTCCCTCCTCCTCTACCAAACATTATCACCAGAAAGTAAAAATATGGATTGGAATGAATGTCTCATCTCTCGGGAGTTTCTCTTACCCTCAAGGTGAATTGTTAAGTGTCCATTTGCCTGAGTACAGCTCTGATACTTTTCCCAGCTATAACACATCTCATACTTGAGGGGTATCCAACATTCTTCAGGTGCTCTGTCCTTTCTTTTTCAAAACCACTATCCTCTCTACCACTTTTCTTGAGTCTATCATATATTTCTTCCTTTTTCTAGTCTTTGTCTTCTGGGTTGGCACATAGTAGGATCTGTGGTCAGATGTCCATCCACATAATGATCCTTAGGCCTCCATATCCAAATCAGGCACAGAATTCAAATGATCGGATTTACTTCTTGACCATCTTTTAGCAACTGCATACCTCTGCTTGTCATCCACTTCTTAATTCTCTTTCTCACCCCCAGGGACATAGCACTGGTATCACTGTCTTCCTTCCATCTCTGCTTCCTTCTCCCTTCATAAATACCCCTTTCTTCATTTTCTTCTTTTCTGTTTATCTTCCCAAATTAATTCAATTATCAGCTATCTCCACAGCAAATACCAAGTTTACAGAGCTATTCCCAATCTTATTATCTAATGATATGACCCATTAACTTAAACTTAACAAATCTGAACTGGAAAACTCAACTTGCTTTCCCTAAAACCCAGGTTTACTTCTGACACATTTCAGGCCTGAGTTCACACTTGTGTCATGTTGCCACATCCATTCTCCTACGTAATACATCAAGGAAAATGTGCCTACATTTTCTTTTCTATTTTTTTTCTAAATAGCTTTAAGTAGTTGTACAAAGGTGTTGCCATTCAACAAAGCAGTTTATGAATACAGTGAATCTTGTTCAATATCACCCCTTTCAACATTCTTACCCACCCAGCCCAACCTATTCTTTCCCTCACTTCCCTTAACTTTAGGTTAAATAGTTAGATTTTTTTTTTTTTTTTGCTTTTTAACAAAGCAGTGTATGTGTACAGTGCTTCATGATCTGTTATCACTTAAATATCTTCATTCCCCCCCCCTTCCACCTTGGACCCACCTGTTCCTTTATATGTCTCATTTCTATGGCATATACAGTGAATTCTTGCCTGCAAGAATGTCCCCTACTTAATGCTTCTCCCCTTCTCTCCTAAACCTCACCTTACTTTCTAGCAAGTACCCATTTTCTGGTACTTACTTTGTTGTGCTTTGATTTAAGTCTTTTTACACAATGACACTATTTGCCCTTTCCATAGCATCTATTACACTACAATTAATTCATCTGAAATCCCTTGCTTAAGCACCCAGTGTGTTTACTCGTAGATTTATAGGCACATTCTGGCTATTACAAATCAGGGAAACCATGCAACCTAAGTTTATCTGGGTCTGGTTTACTTCACTTAATATAATTTTTTCCAAGTCTTTCTATTATAAACATGTTCGTGGAATCATTATTTACCATAGGCAAAATAGAGAATCAGCCCAGATGCGCTTCAATGGATGATCAAGAAAATGTGGTATGTATACACAATGGAATTTTACTCATCTATCAGAAAAAATGATATGATACCATTTGCAAGGAAATGGGAAAGACTTGAAAAAACTTTACTATGCCCACATTTTTTTTTTATTGTAAAGGTGATATACAGAACTAGAGCAAATAATGTCAAGCAAGGTAAGCCAAAATCAAAACAACATTGCGATACCGCTACATTTTCTTATTTGGCATCTTTACAACTGTCACTCCTCCACCACATCTGCTTATTCTATTGTCTCTTTGTTCTCATTCTTTTTATCTAGGTAGCTGTCACCATCCTACCAAACTGAATTTCTTTAGGAACTATTGGCTCACTACACATGTATCTTTCAGGTATAATAGATTAAAGGGTACCTCCCTATTTTCTGGAACAGAGTTCAAATTCTCTGGAATAACCACATCCTTTTATATTCTTCTTTGCCTCACTACTTCTTTCCCACAATTCCACATTTGGGGTCAATGGAATCGCTATTCCCATAATTTCCTTTACTTCTACTCCTAATCATGGAAGCACGACTTCTGTGAAGCGGAGCTCACTGCCTCTGCAGTGTTTCCTCATCCCCAGCTCCAGTGCTCGATCCTGACTCTTATGTCCCATCTTAACCCTGAATATTCTTCTCTCATCAAATGGTGAGCCCCAAGAGCACAGGAGCCTTCTGGTAAGTTCTTTGCTTCTTTGGTATGCAGAAAAGCAAACACCCCATTGTGGTCTGTTACAGCAAAGCAGAGCTTCATAGGAAGAACCGCATGCCAGATGTTTCCCCAAAGTAACTCTATCCTCGTTTTATGAGAATCCCTTCATGGAAAGTTTACAAAGGTAAGACAACATTGTCATCCTGTCCATAATGTACAATTTAGATTAAAACTAAATGTTTTAAAGTCCGAACTGTAAATTAGAAAGTTTTTACCTACTTTGCATCCTGCAAAATGGTTGATTTCCCAAGTCTTGACCTTATTTAACACTCCCCTCTGCTTAAATATTAAATGATAATATAAAATGCATCTGAGTTATACCACCACCGAATAATAGTCTCACAGTAAAAATTAAGGATACTTTCGGTTCATAATAAACTTAAGGAGAATGTGGCCTACCTTTTCACAAACTGGACTGTTGTCATTTGCATCAAGAACTTTCACTTCAACTATGGCTTTAGAAGAGAAGGTCCCGTCAGTTGCTGTGATTGTCAGAAGGTAGTTGTCCTTTTGTTCCCTGTCTAGGGGTTTCTTTACATAGACTTTCCATTCATTCTGTATATTTTCAACAGCAAATTGTCCCAAAGTATCGCCTCCTATGAAATCAATGGAGGAAGATGACAAATTTGTTGAACTCAAAGGGTAATTAATGGCAAAAATAAACTGCAAGAAAGATACATGGTGTTGCAATTAAAAATTTAAGAATTTATAAATAAGCAAAATTCATATATATTAGGCTTTCTCCTTACAAAAGAAAAATACCTCAAAGCATCACTAAAATGTATACTTAAACACAGCAGCTATAATGCAGCCCACACTGAAGCTATAATTATTTCCTTTTGACACATTTCTCATACACTAGGTATTTCTTATCTAAGTTATACCTAGTGCGTAAGAAATATATCAACAGAATGATATCAACAGTTCAATAGAAGGAGTCATAATAAAAATCAAGTCTAGTGCTAAAACACTTGAAATGCAGCTTCACAGATTTCTCTTTATTTTAGATTTTTTTTTGTCAGTTACTGTGTTGAACTAGGGGCTTCCTGCTCTTGCTTGGCTAAGCTTTTTCTGCTCCAGGCTGAAGCTTCTACCATTTGAGTCATGACAGCCACTTCTGGCTTTTTGCTGGTTAACTAGAGATAAGCTTGCTAGGAACAGCTATTCTCAGATATCTTCCTCTTGAGTAGCTTAGGATTACAGGTGTGAATTGCCAGTGCCCAGCTTATTTTAATATTCTGGACTAAAACCTCTAACTCTCAACTTCCTTAAAATCCCATCTAACATACTTGTAATACAATTCAACTTAAACCACGTGATTGAAATTCTTTCTTTTGTATGTGTGTGCCAGTACTGGGGCTTGAACTCAGGACTTGGGCTCTGTCCTTGAGCATCTCTATGCTCAAGGCTAGTGCTCTACCACTTGTGTCACAATACCACTTCCAGCTTTTTCTGTTTATGTGGTACTGAGGAATCAAACCCAGGGCTTCATGAATGCTAGACAAGCAATCTACCACTAAGCCACATTCCCAGCCATAGCTGAAATACATTACCTGTTATAAAATATGTAACTTGTCTGTTAATCTCTTCAGAATCAGCATCAGTGGTACTTAAGATGGCAATTACACCCCCTGGAGGATCATCTTCACTCACGGTCCCTTTGTAAATCTCGGCTGTGAACCGTGGTGGATTATCATTAACATCGGTGACGGTAACATCTACAAGGGCTGTGGAAGACAACTGCACCTTGTCACCATGATCTGATGCAACCACTTTAATCTGGTAACTGCGTCTCTCTTCATGGTCAAGTTCCTTCAGAGTTGTAATCCAGCCTGTTTCTACGTTAATGGCAAAAGACTCAATGATGTCCACACTTTGTGACTGGTCTAGACTGTACATAATTTGGCCATTGGCTCCTGAATCCAGGTCAGATGCTCTGACCTGGATGACTTTACTGCCCCCTGGCAGGTTTTCAACAATAAACGCTTCATAGGGATTGGATTCCAAGACTGGGCTGTTATCATTTGCATCTTTCACTTGGATACTAACATCTACAGAAGCTACTACTTCATAATCATCATGAATGCACCTGGCGAGTATGGCAAATTGATACCACTTTGTCGTCTCATGATCAAGCCTCTTCTCCAGTTTCAGTCTTCCACTCTGTCTGTCAATCACAAAGAATTCATCTCTATTACTTTCTGGGGTGTTCCCTTTGATGAGGCTATACAAAACAGCACCGCTATGTTCTGCTCTGATCAGATCTATTTCGGTACCAATAGGCATGTCTTCTGAAACAGTGTAGGTATAAAAAGGCTCTGAAAATTTTGGAAGCTTTATTTCCGGTGGAAGTATTTTTACATAGACAGGAACAACAGATTCTTTTGATGGCGACCCATTATCTACAGCTCTCACAAAGAAAGTAAAGATCTCATTTTCTAAGCCAACTAGACTTTCCTTTGTGGTAATTATGCCTGAGAGTGTGTTAATTTCCAAATTTTCCATAACACTTTCAGAATCTGCTTCAATGGTATAAGTGACATCAGCATTGGATCCCTCATCAGCATCGCTGGCAAAAACTTTAATGACTGATGTTCCTTTGGCTACACTGGATCCGACGTTTACCTCATACTTGGTTGCTCGGAACTGTGGAGCATTATCATTGTCATCTGTTAGGATGACATTAATGGTGCAGAAAGCAACTTTTCCTCCAGCATCCTTAGCCATCAGGCGAACTGAGATCACTTTCTCTGTTGGAGTCTCTCGATCAAGTTTTTCCGAAGTGAATATCTGTCCTCTGTCATTTATGTAAAATCTGTCTTTGGCAAAGTCATTTACAATATGGTAAGTGATGTGTCCATAAATGCCAGAGTCCCTATCAGTCGCTTTGACCTCAACCACTAGGGTATGCAAGGGAGCGTTCTCCGCCAGTTCCACTTCATATTCATTCTGAAGAAAAACAGGACTGTGCAAATTACTTCCAATTACAGTTACATGAACCTGGACTGAACTTCTAAAAACCCCATCAGAAACAGAAACATTGAGTGCATAGAATGGCTTCAAGGTGTGCCGTCGCAGGTTTGAGAGTGTGATAATCCCTGTTTTGCTGTCTATGACAAAATTTTTATGATCATTGCCAGATACAATGGAATATTCCAACTTGTCTATGTCTGTACTGTCTGCATCATAGGCTTTTACACATATCACAAAATGCCCATGAGCGGCATGCTCGCTGATTTTGGCTTGGTAAATCTGTTGGTCGAAGAGTGGCGGATTGTCATTGAGGTCAGTGACGTCCACGGTGATGATTACTTCACTGCTCAGCTGGGGCATGCCTCCATCAACAGCTCTTACGTAAATCTTGTGCTGTGGGAACTGCTCATAATCCAAAGTTCTGACAAGTGAAATGAGACCAGTGCTGCTGTCTATATGAAAATGGTCATGACTCTTACTATGATTTCCAAACATCTGGTAGGAAATTCCCCTGTTTGGTTCTGAATCAGCATCCGTGGCTCTAACTTGAACGACAGATGTTCCAATTACAGATGCCTCTGACAGGGTCGCAGAGTAAGACAGTTGCACAAACACGGGAGGGTTATCATTGATGTCTTCCACTATGATGTCAACGAATACTTCAGCATGAGCCCCAGTTAAGGAGTCTGTAGCACGAATGCTCAGTTTATACGCCGGGTGGGACTCAAAATCCAGAGGAGCTATGACATTGATAACTCCAGTATTGAAGTTAATGGTGAACTGACTAAATGGATCTCCATCTGTGATACTATAGAACACTTTCAAGCCTTCTGGACTGTTGGCTTGGATGTGGACCACTGGGCTATGCATCTGGATGTTTTCTGGGATCTCTGCACTGTAGAAAGGTTTTTCAAACACAGGCATGGCTTTATTCATAACTGTGATTGGAACTATAACTTCAGCTGAAAATGGTGGGTTTCCCCTATCTTTTGCAACTACTGTGACAAGATATTCTTTATTTAAGGTGTCAAGTTCAAATTGCTTTTTCAGAGAAATTTCACCAGAGGGTCCAATTTGAAAGTGGTCATGATGCTCCTTCAGGTAGTAGTGTACTTCCCCATTTCTGCCACTATCTCTGTCTACAGCAGTGACGGAACGAATGATATGGCCTACCTCAGTATCTACCTTAACAACTGCATAGTAGGGAAGATTGACAAACACTGGTGCATTATCATTTTGATCTTCGACAGTGACTTTAACAATAACATGGGCCACTGCCGAAGGCTTATGTTCTTGGGTCACTTCGACAACCACATCGAACAACTCTTGCTGCTCACGATCAAATGGGAGGCCAGTGGTTGACAGCACTCCTGAAGTACGGCTGATTTTAAATCTGCGATCTGGATTAAGGATGTGATAGAACAAAGGCTCGTTGATTGGATTCCCAATAGCAGTAATGACAGCTAATGTCCTGGCTTCAGTGGAGTTCTCTTTCACTTTTGCAGAGTAGAAATCTTGGGTAAACTTCAATTGACTTTCTTTGCTTTCTTTCACATTAACTTTCACAGAGGTAAAGCTGGTAAATCTGCCATCTGAAGCTCTAATGGTTAACTCATAACGACTTCTTAACTGAGTTGTGTTTTGTACAGTTATAGTGCCAGTCTTGTAATCCATAGAAAACTTCTCCCCAATGTTGCCTTCTGTGATGGAGTATATTAACTGGGAGAATGCACTGGAATCAGCATCTGTAGCATTTACTGTGATGACTTTTACACCTTTGTATGTTGGCAACAAAAGAGATGTTTCATATAATGACCTGGAGAATACAGGAGGGCAATCATTGATGTCAATTACATGTATAGTGACATTAGCAGCATATTCAGCAAACAGACGTGGTGTTCCCATGTCATGCACTTGCACAGTGAAGTGAAAAACACTTGTTTCTTCATAGTCCAAACTTAGGACTGTGTGAATAGCACCAGTGCTGGAATCAATAGCAAAATACTTATGCACAGAAGGTTCCACAATGTGATACACAAGCAAGGCATTGGATTCTTTATCTGCATCAGTTGCTCGAATCACTAGGGGGGCATTGCTGTCTGTGAGGACAACACTGTTGATGGATGCAGATTCACTAATGAGTCCTGAATATTCTGGCTGTATGAAAACTGGTGAGTTGTCATTCTCATCCTGCAGGTGCACTAGAACAGTTGTATTGGTGGATAAACCAGCCATGTTGGTTCCTTGTACTGTCAACATATAAACTGGCAAAGTTTCAAAATCCAGGGCTTTCTGAGTGATGATACTTCCAGAATGGGGATTGATATCAAAAGCATCACCTAGATTGCCATCTTTTATTTCATATACCACTGATGACTGACTATGGGCTGTAACCATTCCAACAAAACTTCCGATGCTGATAGTCTCACTAATTTCCACAGAGTATTCCTTGGATGTAAACTTGGGAGAGGCATTGTCAGCAATCGTGACAATGATGTGTACAGAAGTAATTTCACTCAGTGGTGGGTCACCTTGATCAGTAGCTTTTACTATCAAATCATATTCTAGTTGGTTACTTCGATCTAATTCTTTGGCAGTTTTTAGAGAGCCCAAGATGGGATCAATTGTAAAAGAATTTCCAATATTTCCTAGAAGGCCAGAAAAACAAAAACAAAAACAAAACATGTTAGAGATAAGCACAAGGACCAACAGAAGTTAATAGTTGAAGAAAAGAAAACTTTCTTCAAAGATATTCTGACACTCAGAAGTGCAGGTTAAAAAAATTAATATTTGAATAGAACCCTTGTTTCATTTGTTACCCACCCAAAAGAAGGCACGCTTTTCAGAAATTTGACCACAAATTGTTACAAATAAAAAGCAGAAGGATTATTATATACCTAAAGCCAATTGCACTTTCTACTGGTTAAACTAGAAATGCACTGAGGAAAGACATGGCCATCCTTCCACTAAGAAGCAAGCTAGTAAATGGTTTTCCAATAGTCCCTCAAAATCTTTCTAGAACATATTTTATCCGTTGAGCATTTACCCCCTTGCCATTTCTCAAGATTCCTATTTATTATTCAAGGGAAGATTATAATTCACCAGGCAAATTTACACCATCATCCAAGAAAATTATCCCTTATTTTAAATAAGGGAACAATTTACTTAAGTAAGTTTTGAGAATTAAAAAAAAATATTTCCTTCTTAATCTTTTTCAGGTCAATTTATCTTCCAGTGCTCTCAAGAAGGGGACGCTGTGCTTCTGAAGACACATGTGGCAATGTCTGATTGTTAAACTGGGAATGCAGTGTGTTACTGGCATTGGAGAGGACAGGAATGCTGGGAAATCCCCTTCAATACCCAGGATAGCCCCGCTACAATTTATCTAACTCCAAATGCCCAGAATGTTGCAGCTGAGAAACAAGCTCCCAAGAAAGACTGTTTTATTGCAGGCCTTTCCAGACTATACTAACACAGATTTAGATCTAACCTCAACTCCACAGTGGGCCATAGTTTTGTATCTTTGAAGAACCTCGCAGTTCTCGGTAGCCTTTTGAACAGATCAAGGCTGTGTGAGGATGCTTACGTTGGATCCATCCATCCCTTTTCTGTTTCATACGTCCAGAATGCATTATTTTAGTCATAACACTGAATTTATTCTTCCCCAAAGAACTATTAAACTTTTCCCCAAACCAAGTTCACTTAACTACTTTGTCAAGATCTTCTTCCTCCAGGCTTGCAATCAATGTGGCATTTCACAGACCAGAGCTACTTCGGTGTGGTCTGCAAACCAGGGAATTAACCAAGCACTTCTGTCTCCACCTCATTAACACGAAACATTACCTCTAACAGTCTTCATTTCCTTCCTTTCAAAAATCCCTTCCAAAAATCCCTGACAATTTTTCCTAAAGTCAGACCCAGCCTGGTTTTCATTACGTCTGTCGGGTTATGAATCCAGGCCTCCAGGCAGTGCCTCCGTCTGTGGAGGCCCTGAAGCTCTGAGCTGAATCCTGGCCCAAGAACAGTGTTCTGGTTCCTCTGCCAGGCTGCTCAGACACTAATTTCCGGCTTGTCTGTTTTAGAAGAGTCAATGATCCCAGGATCTCTCTCATTATATCTGTAGTCAGTCATCAGAACTTAAGAGTCCTTTCTTCATCTATCTGAGCCACACCCTAACCTGTCAAATTGTGAAAGATTGCCTGGCCTGACACGGGAGACTCTGGTAACCCTTGCCAGATGCCATCACTCCCTGGGCTTTGTACTTACATTTTTACTTACATCTGTTTTGACAAAGCAGCTGACCTGTCAAAGTTTGTACTTGCTCATCTTTCTGTCTTACTTATTTTCTAGAGTGAAGCCTTACGCTCAGTGAGGCCTCCGGCATGCCAAGTCTCAGATGCAGGAGCAGCCTGGTAGTATCAGAATGCACTACTTCCTGCACAACTTGCTCCCTACCTCCAGCCATGCTGGCATTCTTTTTGCCCTTCCATCAATAGAGGATACTTTTATACGACCTCAGGAGCTTTGTATCTGCTGTGTCTTCTCCTCACATAGCCTTCCTCCACCCTTCACCACTCATTCATTGCTTCAGCCTTTATCTGGACTCCTTATTCAGTATGCCTCTTCCTCTCCCCTACCCTACATTTTTTTTAGTAGGATGTGTAATAATCTTGCTTTTTATGAGCCAAAAATTCAGAAATATTCTTTATCAGCTAGAGCATCCTAACTGATAGTAACCCTGAGCTTGTCCCTGATATCAAGAAAGTTAAGCTGGAATCCAGATAGTGACTTAATACATGGCTTCAACACATAAATCAAAGAAGGAAGCTTCAGAATTCTGGAGGAGACATCAGTAACGTGGTTTGGGGAAAAACAGTGGGGGCTGCTGATTGGCATGAAAGTTCTCCTGCTGATAACTGGCAGATTCAGCAAACTCTGAGATACATCTATAGTATTTGTGAACAAGCTAATAAGGCTGTGGGTTTTAGAAGTATGTCCTGGGTTGGGGGCTCATTCGTTCACTAAAGCTGAGATATGGTAATCTTAAATTGTCCTCTGTATTTAAACATTAGAGCAATGTTTGTTCTTAAGTCACAATTATATTCCCCACAGGGGGTGTAAAAGAGATGTCAGAGTACTGTGTGGTAGGGCAATCTCTCCCAATTTACAATCCTAGTTATCTTTAAGTTAAGCTTGAGGAAGACCCAATTCTAATTAATAAATGTATTTACTGAGTGTCTTCTATATCCAGGCACCACAAATATCAGGGTAGTACTCTAGCTGCTTTTAAAAACGACACAAAGGGAAGGAAAGACTATACAACCCAGGGGTTGGCACCGGCATGTCTTCAGAGCATAACTCAATTGTTACTGAAAATGTATCTTTTCATTAAATTCTTTTTTCCCTAAAAACTCCTAATCAGACTAAAGCTTTTCCTCAATAAACTGTTGCTAATTAAACATGCAGTGTTATGGTCAGAATTTATAACCAGCCTTTTGAAATTTATTAAATGTAATATGATGTAAATTGAAACCAGCTGAATCAATGGTTAAATGAAAAGCAGTATGAGAATTTTACAGTTCCTATTACATACACACACACACACACACACACACACACACACACACATACACACACACACACACGTATTAATGGTAATGGTTGCCTACAAATTGTTTACCATAATTTCACATGATCAAAACTATGAAAGTATCTTCAAAGTTCCAATTATCTTCAAAGTTCCAATTTCACACTGGAACGGTCTACTGGCCCTATCTCTTCTTTGAGAGGGGAGAGTTCCATTCTTAGAATACCACGTTACTAACTCCATCAGTCATTGCAAGTATTCAAAGAATGCACATGCCTTTCTCAGACACCAACAATCATATTTTAACCACCCAGTTGTTGAAAATTATGTGAAAGCTAAGGAAAAGTTTAACATTTTCTCCTACATAAGCCCAGTTAGTTTGTGTATGACAAAAATCACTGTATTGAAATGCTCAGGCATGCACAAGTGGAATGTACTGTTTTTCTAACTGCCAAGTCTCTGAAGCAGTGGGAAAATACCTTATCTTTATTCAAGACATTAACAAAGCAATTGACCGCTGCCATCATAAGCAGCACACAGAATCTTTTTTGTAATAACCTCAACTTGAAATAGAAATAGATAAAAATTTAAATATGTAAAGAAATAAAACTGGTTTAACTACACAAGGCATACAAGTACATATTCTGTTAAAATATTCTCCTTTAACTCAGATATTCATTACGTGATATATAAACAATTTATGCCTGAGACATATATATATACATATATATATATATATGTAGAGCTCTAGATTTATAGAAAAAAAAAGACCAAGTAAAATGGAAGATTTCAATTCTCTAAAATCATTACAAAGACAGAAGAGTGAAATACTACTTCTTGTACTAACAATGTGTTGAAGAAAGCAGAAAATTAAACTTCTCAGCATTTCACCACTTACTTATGATACCTACATTAATAAGGAAATCCTGATACAATGCCACCTCTGACTGCATAAATGTGCTCCACACCAGAGGTCTTTTCTTTCACGAAGTGTGCCATTCTAGCTCAAACATGAATGCCACTTGCGTGTCAGCCACATAAAATGACCTTCATTACTCTGTATGGTATGAGTGAGTGTGTGAACAGCAACATAGCACAGAAAAGTGTTAGAGTGGGGGGACCTGCTCTGTGCTGCAACTGCTTCTTAGTCATCCTCCTTATCAAAAACAGGACTCTGCATCTTCTGCCAATCACATGTACAAACACCTAGACCCACAGGCACAGTTGGTCTTCCTGATTCTTTCTGCCTCCAGGCCAACTGCAGTAGGGTTCTTCAGCCTCTTGAACATTTCTCTGACCTTACAATCATTCAACTCCACCTGACAGGATATGGGGGTAAAGGTGTAGGGTAAAGAAAGCTAAACTTAGGATGGAGTAGGAGAGACAGGACACTCACTTTTCCACAATTGACTCAAAAAGAATTGGACAGGTCAGCACCATCATGGAATTTCCTGCTCTGCCCAAGAGAAAATTGCTCTCTGAATAAAAATATAATGTTAAATTACTAGACCATCATTTTCTTAAGTGTGTTTCACAGTTAACCAATATTCTGGAAGAAATAACTTTGTGGTTACAATAACTTTAGCAATACTGAATTGGCTACATAGATATTTTCTTTTCCACTGGGCTTATAAGTCTGAAGTTATTTTAATATTGTGAAGCCCCAAGAATGCCTGAGATCCAAACCTACTAGAATTTTTATCGCTGTTCTCTGCTGAGTTAAAAAAAGAAAAATAAATAAGTAAAATCTTCTTTTTCTTCGGCATGTAAAACAGCAGCTAAAGATCAAGTTAAGCAATGTTTGCAGTAATACAAAATTTTTGTAGTGATACTCCAATACTTAACTGATTTTAGAAAAGAAAAAAAAATATTCTAACAAATATAAAAGTTAAAAACCCTTGAGTGCTCCAAAATTACCTGATTCGATTGAGTACAATACTTCAGCATTTTTCCCTTTGTCTTTGTCCAGAGCTGTAACCTGCAACACAACTGAGCCGACAGCAGCTGACTCATAAACCCGTCCTTCATAAGAGGAACTGGTGAACCACGGGGCATGGTCATTTGTGTCACTGACGTTAACGATGATCCTTGCAAAGTTGCGTTTTACAGGCACATCTTGATCCCGTACCTAGAAGAATAACATACGATCAATCAGGTTGAGGTTTTTTTCATGGATTAAAAAGCACTATCGCCCTCAAACACAGGAAACTACTCTTCAGGAGCCAAAAGGGGGTGAGAAGGACAAGCAGATGTCATACCATGACTGTAAGAATATGCTGGTGAATGGCTTCATGATCAAGTTTTTCAGACGTGTACAGGGAGCCAGTTGCAGGGTCAAGGCGGAATTTTTTGAGACTCAATGGGTCTATACTACTCTGCAGAGTGTAGATTAGCTTGTTTTTCTCATCTTTATCCATAGCGCTGATTTGCAGTATTTCTGTTTCTGGTACTGTATCTTCAGGAATAACAACTTCATATTTTGATGTAGAAAACTGAGGGCGATGGTCATTTGTATCTATCACTTTGATGAATACCTACAGTAAGTGACAAAGGGTCACAAAATAATAAAATGACTAATTATGATACTTTAATATTAAAAGAGTCAACACTAAAACCACATACACATTGGAAAAAAGCTGGTATTTTAGCAAAATTAGAAAATACAAATGAGAAATAGAAGTAAAAAGATCTAGACTCAAAAAGTTAAAAAACTTCTCACTTGTAATTACTTAAAATATTTGAGTGAGGTAATAAAATACTATTCACACTTAAAACTTTCTTTCTAAAATACAGACTTAATTTCTCTTCAGCGAGACCTCTGTAGGTAACAAGAGAAAATGGAGAATTTACTTTGCCAGGAATTGTAGACAACATGTTCCCTACATTACATTTGAATATGTAACTATCTATTGAGGCAAATAGGAGAGAGCTGCAAATAGGAGAGATGCAAACTGAAAGAATGTGCAATGTTGTTCCAATCAAGAAAAAACTGACTTAGGTTGCTAAGTTACCTGGAGACACAAAGAAGGTAAGGCAATGAATGTGAGTGGAAGCAATGCCAGGCAGCACCTTAGAAGAGAGCAGTAACATGAAGAGCACACAGGGGCTGCACCTGCAGAGCACCTGCATTTACACTGCCTCGCCTTACTCCTGCTGTATGGAGGATGCTCCCTGTGTAACCCACAATGTCTCCCAAGCATTCTCACATATGCCATCTGCTGCCACTAACCTGCCTACACAAAACCTGCTCTGCTGGCCCTTGAGTTTCACTCAGAAAGCCAAGTCTACCTTGCTGTGCTCTGGTGCTTTATCAGCACAGATCTGGATTTCTGTGTTCCTTTCTGTGTGAAATCTGTGGCTCTGCTCTCTCCCAAATGGTTATCTCTTTCTTGTCAGTCCCAGACTGGAAATCCAAACCTAAATACTAGTTGTTCCCTTTGCCCTATGCTATTACAGGTCAATTTGAGCTCTTTTATATTCTAATTTCCCTGACCAAAATTCATTCATGAGGATACAATCAAGATTCTGAAAATGAACTCAAAGTATCGAATTACAATGAAGCACTAAAATTTAAGAGAAAATGAATCGAGAACATATTTCTGAGATTTTTAAGGAATTTGTTCATGTATAACATTCATTCTGAGGTTTTCGTGCCTTCCTCCCCTCAACTGGGTTCACTGGAGGGTAGTGAGGTTTTTTTTTTCCCTTTTTATTGTTATCTTTAAGTAGTTGTACAAAGGAGTTGCCATTTAACAAAGCAGTTGATGACTACAATATATCTTAATCAGTGACACCCGATCATTAGTCTCATCCATCCCTCCCCTACCTACCTTTCTCTTGATCTTCTTTATTTTGTATGCTAAATTGGATTCTTCATTCTAGCTAAAAGTATAATTTGGGGAGAAGAGATGCATTGCTAAGAATTCATTTGTACAACAGATGCTATGGGACTGTTCGAAATGAGCATGCCTGATCGAGGGCCACTTCCAAAAAGCCTAGGCATCTGCTCAGCCAATTTTGTAAGCTGTACACTAAGCTCTCTCGAAGAGCTTCCCTGCCACACAATCTCTGCAGCATCTTCATGTTTTATTCCTGCCTACAGTTTCTGAAGTTCAGTTTAGGGGGCTTATGACTCTGCTCGTAACTACAATTAGAACAATAATCAATAAAATGGAAATTTCAGGACTGACAAAAACTCATACCAAAAAAAAATTGCAAAGTGAATCCACAAAAGCATCACATAGTATACACAGCATCAATTCTATGTCCATTACTAATCATAAGTTTTTACAGAAAGGAATAAAATATTTTCACAACTGGGGCTGGGAAGGTGGCTCAGTGGTAGAGCGTTTGCCTTGCATGCCTGAGGCCCTGGGTACGATTCCTCAGCACCACATAAGCAGAAAAAGCCGGAAGTGGCACTATGGCTCAAGTGGTAGAGCACTATCCTTGAGCTGAAGAGCCAAGGGACAGCACCCAGGCCCAGAGTTCAGGCCCCCACAACCGGCAAAAAAAAAAAAAAAAATATTTTCACAACTGAGCTTAGACTATTTGCTTATTTGTTCACTGGAAATACACCACATACAATATTTTTATAATTCAATGCAACTAAATGATTTTATCAGGTGACTAGCTCAGAAAGATTTAAAGGGACAAAACTTTAAAAAAAATGATTGAAAACTAGAACTTAGGAGCACTTCATCCTCTAATCTTAACTTCTTCCTTTTTAAGGACAGAGAAATCAGACACAAGGCTTCTGTTTCTATCCCATTGTAATACAAGCTCATAGAAGGCATGATTTTTCCGTTACTGTCCACACTACTTGGCTTCCTAACTAATATCTGGCATAGAACAAATGTTCAACAAGCCATTTGTTAAATGAATAAATGAACTACTCTCTGTCTCCTCCTGAAGGTACACAATGATTATTCATCCAGTAATGTTCCTTTTGTACAGCTCCATCAAACATACTATATCAACTGAAGAGAATTAACAGGAAAAGAGAATTTAATTTACAGGATTTAAACAAGTTTCAAAGCCTAGCAATCTCACGATCTTCATCATGAGATAGGAACAAATAAAGATGGTAGGGGTGTTAAATTTCTGTAACTACTTAATCACATACAAACCAAGTAGAGATTTGTAGTTAATTTTCTCACTCTAAATAATGAGCTTGGGTATAAACTACATGAATATAACTTCTGATTTTAGAGCCTAAAAGGGCACAATCAGCTGTCTGTGCCACCATGAACCCTAAAGGCAGGATGGTCTCCATCCTCTTTGGCCATACATACCAGCAATATCTGTAGCTCACTCACCTGAGTAAGGATTGTGCTTGTTCCGTCTGTCGCCTCAACTGTGAGGTTATAGTTTGACTTCTGTTCTGCATCAAGGGGTTTGGCAACAATGATGGTTCCAGTGCCCTTGTCCACGTCAAAATGACTGTCATAGTTGCCACCTAGTTTAAATGAGGACAACAGAAGAGCAAGTCACAGGATGAAAATCCCTCATTTATTTTGTAGCTTTCTGATACCTAACAGCAGTAAAAATTCACTTCTAATGTAACCACCAAAGGTAATCCCAAGAACCAGCATTTTGAAAGGAATACAATGCTTTAGGGCAATGCTGAACCCTAATTATCAAGGGAGCCAAGAATTGTGAGGAAGCCAGAAAGCAATTCTAAAGAGAGGGAGAACACTGCAAACATTGCCAAAAAAAGGATCTCAATTTACTTTTCAGACATTCTTAATATTAACTTAATTTATATGTCAGTTTAAAAGCATTAATGGTCATATAAAAGTTTGAAAGAAATCTTTATGAAACTTTGAGCCTATTACTTGACTAAAATAACTATTAAAAACAAATGCTTCCCCTTTGTACAACTACTTAATAATTATAAACAAATGCTAACTGAAAAAAACTAGTAATAGTTACTGCTAATTAGTTCTAGTTGTTATATACTATTTGAAAATGTTTTTCCATTATCAAACACAGAGCTATATAAAGCAAAGTTTTCTGTCCTAGAAACAGCATCCTGATGTATCCTCAATTACATTGCAAATCTAACTCTTCAAATCTTCTCAACTTGAAATATTTATACAAATGAAATGAATTGAAAAAAAAATGAAGGCACAATTTTGGTTAGAATACCAAAAAAGCAAAACAACATAGAGACACATGCAAGGTCTTCAATCGTACATAAAACTATGAATCTAGATATGCGTTAAGAGCTCTACATTAAAAAAAAAAAGGTAGCAGAAGGGGTTAATGGCAGAGGGACCAATCAGATAAAGGAGTGTGGTAAAGGGTGATGGAAAGTAAATACGATCAAAACATATTACACAAGCATAAAAATGCCAAAATGAACCCTAGTAATTTATATAATAGTAATAATAATAGTAATAAATAACAAATGAAAAAGTAGTTAATGTATTTGTAACTGGAATGGGTGACCACATATATACTGTGAGAAGAAACAGCAATGAAAAACAATCACTGGAAATTAAAAAAAAAAGTTCAATGTAAAACTCAGTGCTTTTATTTTAGATCTCATAATCTGAAATAAATTATGAGATCTCAGCAGATACCTTCTGCTGTACAGTTCAGGTCACAAGTCATCTGAAAGATGTAAAACACTTCTCTAGCAAGTGTATCTCCTGGCACAGCCAAAGAGGAAAGCAAGCATGGAAAGCAAGCACAGAAGAAGAAGAAGAAGAGTCAGTCAAACCAGTTCCAAACACAACCAGATATGGAGTCAGGTACCACACAACAGCAAGCACTCTGACCATCTGGAATGTGATCAAAGTTAAAGAAAAAGAATTACCTTAGTTATAAGTAACCATGAAAATCACATTTTCCCTTAAAATAAACTTTAATCGTTTCAGACCTATTATCAACAATTATTTCATAGTGATCAAATATGGAGAAGACATCTCAACTGTGTAGTATGAGAAAGTGTAAGAAGGGGGACAGGGACAAAAACACCTGTCCTGCCCACCTGTGATCCCTCACCCTGAGTTCTATGAGCTTCATTTTCCTACAGAACATTTGCTCAGCTAAGCAGTGGCACAAGGAAAAGAAAGATGACATTCCAATTAGAGGTGAACTGCAATCCATACATTTGATTCAGAGTATCCTACTAATTAAAATACTGTGAAGAAACACAACCAACAGAGTAGAGTGATAAACGCCTGTAATCTCAGCTACTCAGAAGGCTGAAGCAAAAAACACTGCAAGTTTGAGCCTAAAAAATCTTAGTAAAACTGTCTCACAATGTAGGATGTAATACTAGCTATCAGGAGACTGAGATCTGAAGATTCTGAAGCCAGCTGGGGCAGGGAAGTCTGTGAGACTCTTAGCTCTAAATTAATCAAAGAAAAAGCTGAAAGTGGTTCTGTGGCTCAAGTTGGAAGACTGCTAGCCTTGAGTAAAAAGGAGCTCAGAGATAGCCCCAAGCCAGAGTTCAAGCCTCAGGACTGGCCAAAAAAATTAGGATATAAGATGTCAAAGTCAAATTTGAAATTTTAAAATGTATATTGAATTGGCTACTACATTCTATGGGTGAGTTCACTAAATGACATAAAGGAAACATTTATGTAATGAGCCATGTTTCCTACTGAAAATGAAGTAAAATAAAACCCTGAAGCTGACAGTCTAGTTTTTTTGAGTTACACAAATCAAAATCTGTAAGTTTATCCTCTACTAATCATCGACATATACAGTCACATAAGGACAGTTACTTTAGACATTCCAATAAATTCACTAAAAATAATGTGCCATATGTTTATATACATATACATACACACATATATATTAAAATTAGACTGGAACATTTAGGATTTTCTGAAACATCCTGACTCACTGAGAAAAAACTTACTAAATATTAAATATTAATTACTTTGTCTATAGAATACTTATTTTCAATAAGTTTAATATAAGTTATTGTATATTGTGAAGGTTTTTATAATCCAGGTATGACAATTTAAAGGAAATTCTCTGCCTCTAGATCTTACTCTCAATTTTAAATTCTCAATTTTAAATTCTCAGATGTGCACGAAAATGAGAAAAGCATATGCAATTCTTTTTCCTTCATGTCACCTATACAAGGACAATGACTATATGATCTGTGAGCAATGCATACCAATGATGTCAAACCAAAGGGGTGTGCCAGGAGGCTCAACAGATATCACACCAATCATGTGAGCAACTGGATCACTTTCCATTACAGTGAAGGTAAAAACTGATTCCTCAAATGAAATTGGCTCAGGGGATGGTTTGGGTTTGGAGATCCATTCAATGTGGAGCCTGGTGGTCGATGACTTCTGAGGACGACCATTATCAACTGCCTTAATCTGTAAAACAGGAGCAAAAGGGTAAAAGCAACAAATCAGAAGCTACATCCCAACAATAAAATGTAGGATTCACTCTGTTTTCAAGCAAGCCCGTTTCAACCACTGAATAACCTGTCTGTGTATACCATGCATTCCATGATTGATTCAAGAAAGCTGGACAGAAAGCTAATGAAAAAACAAACCCCCACTTCTTAAACATAATAGAGCACTGCCTAATTGGGTCACGAACACCAAATGCATTTACTGAATAGATAATTGGAAGAGATATGAGACCAGGTTCACAGTCAAAGTGTGTAAGAAATTCAGATTTGATCTTCACTCACTGAAAGAATATCATATTCTCCAGCTGCAGAGAACTTTTTGGATGAAACCACTCCAGTTTTAGGTTCAATAAAAAATTTGCCATGCTCATTTCCATCCTCAATGCTGTAGGAGATTTCTGCATTGGGGCCTTCATCTTTATCTGTAGCTATCACTCGATACAGAGGCTCTCGTTTGGCATTTCTTTCTCGTTCTAGTTTGTCTCGCTCTGGGAGTCGGATTTTGTAAAACTTCTGTAGGAATTGAGGTTTGTTGTCATTTTCATCGAGGATTTTCACAATTACTCTCGCAATGGTTGACTTGGGGGGTACACCATTGTCCGTTACAGTAACCTGTAGTTTAAAGGTAATAGATCAGCAATGTTTTAAAGATATAGAACAAGTGAACACCTTTTTCCTAAAGACAAGCAGCACTTGTATATGCTTCTTCAGTTCATACTGAAGGATGGCCCATACCATCCATCTCTTCTCAGAACTTCAGCAACCACCCTCTATGGACATAAGTTATTCTTCCTGATATGCAAGGAGCTGAGCAGGAAAACACCTGGTAACTTCAGGCCTTCTTTACCATTCAGTATTCACTCCTTAACTATGGTCACTACAATGTGAACTTTGACAAAATGTGAAGCTACCAGTCATGGATAGGACCTATACATAAGGAACTGGCTTTAAATACTTAAAGATTCCTTTAAGAAAATAATATATCCAATATATGTAGGCAAATTCTACCTAAAGTTTAATGCATTTAAAAAAATCTATCATTTTAGTTTCATCAACAATATGCCAAAGCAACATTTTAAACTATATGAAAAGATTTATTTGATTTCATTTGGCTGTTTTCTTATACAGAAGTTTTCATGTCTTGGAATTCATGTCAATTAGCATCACTTTATATGGTTATATGTACATAGCTATTGAGCTATTGTGATCTTCTGCTATGACTATCCTAGACATATACTAATTATTACAAATGAGGGAAACCATGGAGGCTGTTTTTTTGGGTCTGGCTTACTTCACTTAATATAATTTTTTTTCCAAGTCTTTTCATTTCCTTACAAAGGGATGATGCCATTATTTCGGATGGAGGCATAGAATTCCATTGTATATATAAACCACATTTTCTTGCTCTATTTATCTATTGAGGGGCATCTGGGTTGGTTCCATATCTTAGGTATGGTAAATAATGCTGCTCTAGTTGTGCTGGTAGCTTTAGTGTAGCTTTGCTTGTGAACATTTGGATAAATACCCAGGAGTGGAATGCTGGATCATAGAGATGTTTAGTCTTTTGAGGAATCTTCATACTGCTTTCTAGAGTGGTTAAACCAGCTTACCTTCCTACCAACAGTGTAGTAACATTCCCTTTTAGCCACATTCCCCCCAAGCAGCTTGGTGGCACAGGAACAAGCCCGAGGACCAATGCAATAGAACTGAAGACCCAGACATGATCCCAACAGACCTATGGCCACCCAATCTTCGATTACAGAGTCAAAATTATCAGATGGAAGAAAGACAGCTTCTTATACAAATGGTGCTGGCAGAATTGGCTATACACATGTAGGAAATGGAAGTTAGATTCCCATATATCACCCTGCACCAGAATCATCTCCAAATAGATCAAAGACCTTGAGGTAAGAGCAGAGACCCTGATATTGCAGGAAGGGATAGAGGATAAGGTAGGACTCCTTGGCACGGGTCAAAACTTCCTAAATAAAGCTTGAGATACACAACAAATCCAAGAAAGGCTGGATAAAGGCACTGCATTAAACTACAGAGCTTCTGCATGGCAAAAGACATAGCTAGCAAGATCAACAGAAAACCCACAGATTAGGAGATCTTCACCAGCTATATAGAGGCCTTATATAAAAAATATACCTAGAGCTCAAAAAATTAAACCCCTCAACAACAAATCCCCAAAGAAGTAATCACTCCATTAATAAGTGGGCTAAAGAATTAAAAAGAGACTTCTCCAGAGAAGAAGTAAAAATGGCCAATAGACATGTGAAGAAATGTTCAACATCGCTGGCCACAAAAGAAATGCAAATCAAATCCACACTGAGATTCCACTTCACCCCAGTTAGAATAGCCATTATCAAGAACACAAATAGCACTATTTTCTTTTTGAAACTTGGCAATGGTAAATTTTGTTTCAAAGAATGAATATATCTTTAGGGGACTTGTCAAGAATAAGCAAACCATAGTTGTTTTACCATGCCTAAAATAGTTTATTTTCATGAATTTTTCAGGACAAAATATTAAAATAAAACTATTACTATTAAATATTTTTTAAAAAACTGAGAGGTTAAATTAAACTTCTCAAACATTTCCTTTTGTTCAGGTCTATAGTCTTCATAAAAAAAAATGAAAGAGAAATACAACCAAGTACTGTGTTTTTCTATCACCAAGTTGTTCTAAGTTTTCTGTTTTGTTTTGAGACAGGATCTCACTATGAAAGCCCATGCTGGCCCTGAACTCGTGATCTTCCTGCCTAAACTTCCCAAATGCTAGGATTATGGGTATGAATCACACTGAAGTGAACCACCATGTTCTTAAATTTAGACTCAATAACCAGTAACTTTCAAACGGTGATGGAAAAAACTTCTCTCTTTTTTCAGACAGATAAACCAGGCCAGCATTAACAAATGAACAATACAGAGATCTAGAAACAAATCACTACAATACCTTATTTCCCAAAAATGTCTTACTATTATCTTCAAGGAAATGTGTTCTATCTTGCTTCTGACTTTCATTAAGAAAAAAGGGTTCGAGAGTGAGGTACAAAATCAATGTAAAGCTTTCAGTTCAAGCCAGGCAGAGGACAAAGGAGTGTGGTACAACTGCTTTTAACCTGCTTTTTTCCCCAAAATTTTACCATCTGTTTATTTTCTTCCATAACCACATTTGCCCTTCATAAATTCCTGTAGACACCAAATGAAAATCCAAAATACTGCTCTGTAATAAAGAAAATGAACTCAATGGAACAACAGAACCTGTTCAAAACTCTGATGTAATTAATATACGTTAAAATTCCTAATGGAAAAGCATTGTGGCTGTGAAACCACCTTTTCCGAAGAGGAAACTCATGCACATACACATGCCTCCATGGCTTCATACGTCTATGTGCACACATAATGAACTAAGCCTTTTGCTGACAAAGTTAGAAATGTTTAGCAAAGAATGTCATGATACTAAGAAGACAGTATTATCAATAATAATCATACAAAGAAAGGGAATGAGAAAACTCATTATTTAGAATTTGGGGTTACCTATGCTGTAGAATAGATGGGAAAGAAAAGTATGTGACTTTTCTAGGTCCAGCTCTAATACATCACAAAGAAATGTGGGCGTACGTGGCAGGTTTGGTCTGTTCTGTTCCTGCTCATGAGTGTCCTTTTCTTTACATCTCCATAGTATACAGACAATAGCATCGAGCTCTCTCCGTATTATATTCCACCGTCCTCCTGCAACTATTCCTAATCCTCACAAACTATTTATTGTGAACTAGAAACAGGCTGCCCGGTAGATGAGAAAGCATTATAAATTAACCAGAGTGAAAAGCCTTGACCGAAGAGAGTATTTTAGAAGACACATTTGACTTCACTCTACGTTTACTTCAGAAGATTTTAGAAATAATCTTAAAACCACAAAAAATCAGTTTTTTAAAATGCATAAGTAATGCGATGATGTAAGCGTAAAAATAAGAATTCTGGAAACTAGATACAGTTCAATAGCTTAGACTAGATGCATACCACCTCAGATATCTCAAAAATATAACACCAAGGAAAAAGGAAGCTGTAGAAAGTATAAGGAAAAATAGCACTACTGCAAATGACAATGAAATGCAAATGATAGAGTTGCAGGCATTTTCGTGTGTGTGTGTGTGTGTGTGTGTGTGTGTGTGTGTGTATATATGTTATACACACATGGTGTATAAAACACAAAGTTAGAATTGAATTTATATCAGCAGTGTGTTCTGGGGATGGACTGAATAGACAAAAGGGGACATAGGCTATATTTATGACGATTTAATTTTCTTTTTATTAACGACCAGAAGCTAGTAAAACATCAACAATAACATATTCTGGTTAATGGAAACAAGATTACGTTTTCCTAAGACATTTATTGCTGTAAGCATTGCTTAAATTATTAAAAGTAAAGAAATACATACTTCTAATATGTGTTCATCTTGCTGCTCTCGGTCTAGTTTCCTTGATGTAGTTGTGATAAGACCTGCAACAGAGGAAAGGCTTATCAATCCTTCCAGAAGAAGGTCAATTATTAAAAAACAGTGCAACTGAAACCATACTGTATAAAACTTCTTCATCTGTATCTCCTTTAGCTGGCTCCAAGGATAACAGGATGGATGGAAATAAATTCTATTGCTGCAATGAAGAGAAACATTAAAAACATCTCTTATTACCTTTGAACCATCTATTCTTCAAAATGAAGAACTGTAACAAAACAATAATGTGATTCACCAGGTAATGCTACACCGTCAATAGTCATTTAATGTTCAATGAAAGAAAAAAGACAAATGAGTCTCAAAGAAAATCTGTACCAAATTTAGCATATACCAAATTAGACATACTTTCCCCTAAGTTTTTGGCTCAAAATGATTCCAAATATTTCTCTAAATTTGTAAACAAAGCTCCACAGTGAATGAAGCAGTAATCATATCAGCAAGAATAATGAAAGTCTACATTATATTTAGGTACTGGGCTTTTCCCAAACCACATTTACAGATGAAAGGGGGCAAGGGTTTGTGGGAAATGCTTCCCTCTGGCATAAAAATGTCACATACTGCCGCATTAGCTTCGTTTTCAGCAGTCAAAACCTTTTGGAGTTCATCTTCCCCTCCCATTTCAGTACATCTTTCCTATTGCAAAGCCCATGAAGACATTTTTCAGTTAGCTGAACGGCCCCCAATGTGTGAAATTTGTGTCTTAAAATGGCATCATATTAACATGATAGCAATTCAAGAATTAAAATAACCTTCAAATAATACAAAGGTGCTAACTCAAAAAAGAAGTAATTATGTATTTAGAGGCAAGATGTCTAATCCTGTGGTGGGTGGGCCAAGTGTTGGGGGTGTCTAGCAGGCCTGGAGTGTGGAGAAGCAGTCAAAGCTCAGAGCACAGATCCATTTGGATTATACTATGAGCAGAGGCGAGAGCATAAAAACTAAGGAGGGCGGTGTGCTACAAATGACCAACAAACGGGTGGTAAGGAATCAGAACCTGAGAAGCAGTACCCCAGAAAAGAAATCCCAGTTGTTCTAGAAACCAAATTTAAAAAGGAAGTCCCTCCTCCACATATTTCAGAGGGCTTTGGAAGAGGAGATCATTATGAATGTCAAGATAGCAAAGAATGGAGTCAAGTGTGATGTCACATGCTTATAATCCTGGTATTTAGAAGGTTCAGGCAGGAGGATCCAGAGTTCAAAGATAGCCTGTGCCATACAGTAAGGCAGTCTCAAAAATCAAAAGAAACAATAACAGCTGGGAAAGAAAGAAAGACAGAAAGAAGAAAGAAAGAGAGAAGAAGAAGAAGAAGAAAGGAAGGAGGGAGGGAGGGAAGGAAGGGAGGAAGGGAGGAAGGAAGGAAGGAGGGAGGGAGGGAGGGAGGGAAGGAAGGAAGGAAGGAAGGAGAGTATATATAATAAGTGCCTACAAACAAGAGAAGATAAAGATGTAGACTGAGTGTATGGTAGCAGAGATCTGTAGTCCTAGATTGGCAGGAGGTGAAGACAGGAGGGTCACAGTCCAAGGACACCCTGGGCAAAATTAGTGTGGAGAAAAAAAATCTTTGTAGGTTCACAACCTTCTCACTAAAAACAGATCCTATCAGAGGCATCCTGATGCTTTCCCCTAATGCCATGGGCCCCTCTGGGTGAGGATGTAAAATTTAGTGCTTCCTACAGAAATTCCATACAGAATGAACTCTGAACAATAAAACCATGAGGGCTGGGGATAGCGCTCGGTAGTAGAGTGCATTTGCAAGGCCCTCAGTTGCAGTCCCAGCACCCCATTAAATTGACTAATTGATTAATTTCTTAATGAAACAAGAAATCACTAGGAAGCCAGGAATGTTTTAAAGGTATGCTTTTACCTGACAGCAAGGAACCATACTGAAAGATTAACATCCTGAGAGTGCTATCTGACCATGCTGCTCTCTGTCCGGTAGGATTTATTCTGTTTATAGTCATTCTCGCCTCTGTGCTTCAACACTTCTCACTCCTGCTAATCCTTGCCCAGTCCCTGGACTACTTAACAAAGTACCTATTTCAATAATAAATCCAAAATATGACTTCCTTATGCTTACACGTTACAAGCACTGTAGTTATTAAATATACAATTAACAGTATGATCCATTTCTTCACTGTAAACGTTTATGCATGTCTGCAATGTTTTGTGGGGTGTTATGCCCCCTAAATACTATGGATACACACTTCACAGAAACAGCTCAGAATTCAACGGCTTCAGAGCAAGCTAATGTTTTTCCTGCCTAGGTCACCGCCAGTAAATCAAGTCATTAACAGATTTGGAATTAAGAGTATTGTTCTCCAGAGGCCCAAATGAGTTTTTTCTCTCCTTCCTATCATACCAAACTGCCCAGGTTGCTGCATATGATTATTTCAACTCCATAAACTCAGAACTGTGACTTCCAAAAAGTTTTAAAAATAAAATGACAATAATTAGCCATGATTCATTTTAATAGACGCAAAAAAAGGTAAGTTAGAAAATAAAACAGAGGGCAAAGCAGAAAAATGCCTATGTAAGTGCTTTCTTTGGTAACGTTGTGTTTTGTTTTCACTTTCTGCAAGCACCTTTAAATTAAAAATAGAAATGAAAGGACAAAAATTAGATATTTTTCTCCCCTTGGTCTAGAAAAGAAAAACGTTGCATTCTTTATCCCAATTCTATTAAAAATGTGTGTAGGCTGACAGAGCAGGTACAGTGTCTTCTCAGTCACCAGGAGCTACAGATTGACCTCATAAATTTAGCTAAGACTAAGGGACCAAACTTTACTGCTGCTCGCGAATATAATTAGCAAAATTATTTGTGGCCTTTCAATGTAACTCTAGATATTTAGGGAATATATTTAAGGCAGAATATCAGATTCACTATCATGGTTCAAATGGAAATTTTACTCTGATATGCTCTATAAATCACTGTCTCCAAACTTTTCAAAACTCAAGAGAGAAGCTAAGACACTGCCTCTGCCTCTGGAGGAAAAACAAAACTGCAGAGCCAGCTGTTTGCCTTGCTTGATAGGAAACTGACTTTGAACCATTATTCTATTGTTCTATGCAAGAATAAGCAGAGGAAGGGAAAGATGAACAACAGAAAGTCCACCCTGTATCCTTACAATGGGCAGAAAAGAACCTGTTCTGAAGTGAGGCCTGGGGCTGGTTGGACTAGAAACCATGCTGTGATGGATTTATAACCTGAGCACAGATATGCTGCACCCCTTTTCTTTCTAGCTATATAAGCAGGAATGTTGGCTACTCTCTTGTGGTCAGTTTAGGACTCTTCTCTCCTATATCTTGACCTTTCAGTGTTGCAACCTTCGGCTCCCATTTTCTCAAATGGTATGATCTTTATTAGGGGTACTACAGGATGGGCTGTATACACGTGAAGTGGCTGAAGTGTTCTGGAAAGTCACCAAGAGCTTAGAACGCTGATACCCAAACATAAACTGTTCACTAGGCCTATCTTTGAATATATTAGTTCTCATACTCTTTTGTCCTCCATAATAGAATAAAAACTACCTAAATACCCTTTCACAACCCTATTAAAGATAATTACAAACAAGAGCCAAGAGCCTAGGAGATACGAGTCTTAATTATTAAGTTGTTTCAACTAAGGAGGAAAGAAAAAAAGCTTTCTATCTAAATGAATTAAAATAATTTCTCTCTATTCTTAAATGAGTTTACTTAACAAGCAACATGCAGGGTACAATGAAATTAATCAAGAAAACTGTTTCCCAAAATAATTTACCTAGTGAAAAATACTTAATGTGTGATCACCCCACATTTATCCACCCTTTCCATTCTAGCCATTTTGGGTCATAAGGTAGCAGATAAGAGTTGAAATAGGAGTGTTTTAGAACCATATATTCAAACATAAGGCTTCTGATTTTTTTTAATATGCAAGCTATACTAATTGAAATAAGCTTGCTCAGTTAAATTATTATCTTCAAAAAGTACAGAGATTATTTAATTCACGGGAAAAAAGAGGGCAACAGAATCAATACTGAAATTTTATTGAAGTACAAAAGTAAAACCAAGCACTGTAAGACACAGACATGGGAGACAGTAACTCTAGAACTCTGTATAACGTGACTGTTTCCTTGAAATATTCCAGTCTCTACAGCTGCGCCCAGTCAGTGCTAGTAAAATGAAATTGGCTTCACCACAAATCTGTCCTGCAAGTTAGAGAGTGCACAGCTGGCGGGCTGCGAAGTGTAGAAGGTAGACAATATCCACAGGTAGACACAGAAGAATCAAAAAACAGAACCAAGCACAGCACTCATCTGTTCATCTTTTTAGGACTCTAAACAAGCAGGAAGAAAAGTCTTTCAAACATCCTGACTTATGAGATCTTCAACCTGTCAACTGGAAAAGGTATATTATGGGGAACACAATAAATGAAGAAGGGAAAATCCTTGGCCCTTAAAAACTTGAGCCAGGATGGGATCCTGGGGAATATCAGGAAGACCAGAAACAATGCTGAAAAGTCAGAGCAGACCCGTAAAGACTTACAAGGGAGGAAGATATCATTTCTCCCCACTGCACATTCTAAAAATACAGACTGCTTCAGAGGAAGGCCTGAATGAAAGGTTCAGCTCTGCTTATGTTGTCTTTTGACACCCAGGCATCCATGTCCTTGCTCTGAGCTCGGAGGGTCTGTGTAGCCCGCCACTGCCCTTCCTTAGGTGCTGTTCCAAGGCCACATTTAACCACAGCCTGTGGAGAGCTCTTCTGGCAGCTGCAGCCATCTGAACAGCTATTGTTTGTCATTCTAGTACTGGTGCCGGCCGGATTAGGCTTGGAGCCAAGAGTGGAATTCTATTCATAGGTTGTCAAGGCTGGAAAATAGCTCAGAATTCATTTTGTTCAAACTTTCCGAGCTGCAGAGAAAGTGCTAATAAAATTAATCAAATGAACAGTCTAAAGTCACACACTGAATGGACAGGCAAGAGCTCCCATTCTGGTTAGTCAGAATTCT